TTCATGAGGGCTGTGCCTCTATGATCTAATCATTTCCCAGAGGCCCCAACTTGTGATTAGGTTTCAACATCTGGTGATTAGGTTTCAACATATAAATTTTAAACGGATACAAACATTTAGACCATAACACATATTTATGATGATTTTATACTAGTGACTTCTTCAGTTTTGTTTTCCTTATGTTCTAGTTACCAATTTTATTGTCTCTCACCTCCAAAATCACCCACAGACTATGAAAATGGAACTAATTGATTTAAGTGTTTTTCCTCTGGCAGCTGGCAGGAAGTTAAGCTTTGTCAGTAGAGGGCACTGGAGAGACACTGCAAGAGAAAGACTTTGGTCCCTAGTACTGCAGGTTCTGAAGCGTGTGTGGTTTCCCAGGGTCCAGCTTCTGCAGTAGGGACAGCTAGCTATTCCAGTGCCAAGCTCCTGCAGTGCACAATGGCCATCAGTACTAGCAGCCTTCAGCTTTCTCGAGTACCCCCCTAAGGAGGTCTTTTAGCAGTGTGACTCCAGTGAGACACCTCCCTGTGACCAGCTTTCTCCAGCACCATAGAGTGTGAATTTCCAGCAGTTTCTACCAGTGCAGCACCACAGGCACTGCTTTGCCATTTAGTGAGCCATGACTACACCCATGGTCCTGGCCATACCAGGACCTCTTCCTCTGTGTTCTATCTCATACTAAGGGGAAGACTAGTCCTTTTGTTTGCTATCTACTAGTTTTTTTTTAATTTTTTTTCTTCTGCTAGCCAATCCCTACTCCTACAACCCCTGTTACTGTAAATAATTCTTTATATGAAATTTTTCCTGCTCAAATTACTTTGTGGTTTATTTCTCTTGATTGTATCCAGGCTAAAATAACATATTTTTTAAAAAATTTATTGTGATAAGAACACTTAAGATGAGATCTACTCTCTAAAGATTTTTAATTGTATAGTACAGTATTGATATCTATAGACACATACTGTATAGCAAATATCTGGAACTTATCCATCTTGGATACCTGAAATTTTATACCTGTTGATTGGCAACTTCCTTTTTCTCCCTCCTCTGAGCCCCTGGCACTATTCTATTCTTTATTTCTATGAGTTTGACTTACTATCTTATTTAATGGGAATCATGCAGTATTTGTGCTTCTGTGAATGGTTTATTTCACTTAGTATAATGTCCTCAAGGTTTATGTATGTTGTTGCATATTGCAGAATTTTCTGCTTTTTAAAGGCTGAATTATATTCTATTGTATGTATATGCCACATTTAAAAAATCCATTCATTATTAAATGTACATTTAGGTTGTTTTGACATCTTTGCTATTGTGAATTGTGCTGGGACAAACAGATAAACATTTGAATGTAGGTGTCTTTTTTGACAAAATGACTTCATTTCCCTGGGGTAGATACCCAGCAGTGGGATTGCTGGGTCGAATGATATATCTATATTTATTTCTTTGAGGAATCTCCATATTGTTTTACATAGAAGTTGTGCTAATTTGCAATCTCACCAACAGTGTATAAGCATTCATTTCTCTCTGCCTCCCTGCCAACTTCCATTGTTTTTTGACTTTTTACTAATGCCCATTCTGATGGGGGAAGGTGGCATCTCACTGCAGTTTTAATTTGCAATTCCCTGATGAGAAGTTCCCAACTACTAAGATGCTACCGTTTATTTCTTTCCTTAGATGTAGAAGAATTTGCTTTATGAAACTGGGAGCTCTTTTGTTAGCTCCTTTGTTAGGCATCCCTTTATATAAATAGTATTGGTATGACTTCTTGTTGAATTTCTCCCTTTACCACTATATAATGACCCTAATTGTCTTTTTCTTTTTTAAAAGTCTATTTTATTTGATATGAGAATGGTTTCACTTGTTCACCATTGGTTTCCATTTGCATGGAATATTTTTTCCATCCTGTTACCTTGAATCTGTGTGAGTCCTTGTAGTAGATGTGTTCCTGGAGGCAGCAAATAGTTTGGTTATATTATTTCATCCATTCAGCCAGTCTCTGTCTTGTAAGTGTGGCATTCAGACCACTCACTTTGAGTGGTAGTATTGGTATATGGGATGCTGCTCTGTTCAGCATATTGGATGATACCTAATTGTTTTGTTTTCCCTGTTGTCCTATTTATTATTTTCTAAGAACTATAAGCTATAACTCTTCAGTGATTTTACACTGGTGTTACCTACTGTGGTGTTGTATGTATTATTATAATGCAATTTTGAACATTTGTTATAAGGCTGGTCTAGTGGTGACAAATCCCCTTAGTGTTTGCTTGTTGGGAAAGACTTTATTTCTCTCTTATTTATGAGATGTATTTTAGCAGGATACAAAACTCTCAGCTGGTAGTTATTCTGTTTAAAGAGACTAAAGATAGGACCCCATTCCTTTCTGGTTTGTAAGGTTTCTCATGAGAAGTCAACTGTCAATCTAATGGGTTTTCCTTTGTAAGTTACTTGATATTTTCACAGCTTGTAGGGGTTCTTCCTTCATATTGATTTTGGCCAGTCTGATGGATATATGCCTTGGTGATTCCTTTTTTTCAATGAATCTCCCAGTTGTTCATTGAGCTTCTTGTATCCTGATATATAAATCTCTAGCAAGACCAAGAGAGTTTTTAAAATTATTCTCTCATATAGGTTTTCCAGCCTTGTGTTTTTTATTCTTCACCCTCAGTGATGCTTAAATTTCTTATATTTGGCCATTTTACATATTCCCATATTTCTCATGTCTCTCGATATTTTAATTCCTCTTGATATTTTGTTCTTTATTCACTAGCAAGGTCACCTGGGTTGAGAGTTTTCTTTGTGAGATGGTTCTTTAAATTGTTATTTTGTGATAATTTTACACTTTTAGAAAGGTGCAAACATAGTACAGAGTTTTCATAGGTGCTTGATCCAGCTTCCCTTAATATTAGCATTTCTCATAACCATAGTACAATTATCATAACCAGGAAATTAACACTGGTACAATATTACTAACTAAATTAAAAACTTCATTCAAATTTCATTATTTTTTCTATTAAAGTTCTTTGTCTATTCCAGAATCCATTTCAGATCCCACATTGTATTTAGTTGTCTCCTTGGTTTCCTCTATTCTGTGACAGTTCCTCAGTCTTTCCTTGTCTTTCACAATCTTGATGCTTGAAAAATTCTGGTAAGTTACTTTGTAAAATTGGGTTTGATGGTTTCTCATGATTAGATAAAGGTTATGCATGTTTGGCAAGTGAATTACAGAAACAATGTGTCATTCTCAGTGAACGATAACTAGAAGTACATGACACCAGTATTTCCATCCTGGGAATATTAACCTTGATCATTTAGTTAAGGTGATGTTTGTAGGATTTACCCACTTTAATGTTACTGTTTTTTTCCTTTGAAATTAATAAATATGTTGGGAGAGATTCTTTGAGGCTATGCAAATATTCTATTTCTCCCCAAATTCATACTCATTAATTTTAGCATGCTTTGCTGGATCTTGCCTGCAAAGAATTATTATTATGTAGTTTACCTAATATTGATTTTCTAATCTGTCATTTTTTCCTATATTTATTAATTGGAATTTGGAATTGTACTTTTACCCTCATTTATTTACTTGTTTAATTATTTATGTATATCAGTATAGATATTTATTTTATTCTAAGGAATGTAATCCAATACCATTAAATACCATTATTTATTTTCTCAAATGATTCCCCTTTTGATCATTCCCCTTTTGATCATTCTGTGCCTTTGGACATTCCCTCACTTGATTTTGAACACCTCCTTACTTTCTGGCTTCACAAAACATTCCAGGTTTATCCTGTAGTTTTCTTGGCCCAGACCTGGAGTCAAACATTGCTTCAAGGAGCTTTGGTTTCTTTTCTTGGAGATTGACATGACACCATAGGTGGTCAACATCTTGAGTGAGAGATCCTGAGCAGAAAATCCAGCTGAGTCATGCTGGTCTCCTGATTCATAGAAACTACATGATAATAAATTTGATTTGGTTTAAAGCCTGTGAGTGGTGATAATTTGTTACAAAGCAAGAGAAAATCGATACACCCTTCTTTCTAAGACATTCAATTTTGTCCATGCCATTCCTCTGCTTTTATAGTCTTAATAACTTCTCATTGTCTTCATGATAAAATCCAACTTAATTAAAGAAGTTTAAGGCCATTCTGAGTACTGATTACCTCCCTAGCCTCTTTGCTGTGAATTGGATGCTGTCACTTCATTCCAGACACGCTGAAATACTTGGATGGTCCTGATGACATCATGCTCTCCTGCTTCACTTCCTTGCCTTCACTTGATGTCTCAGTTTAAACTTTGGTTTGCTGGCTAGCCTTTTACTGGTGCCCACAAATTGAGTGAGGCCACTGTTATCTGGCTTTCAGAAAATCTTGTTTTTCCTGGCTTATAGCACTTAGCACAGTAACAGAATTGTTTGAATATCTGTCTTCCTAAGTACACAGCACTCTCCTTGAGGGCAGTGTTTTTATCTTACTCACCATTATCCTTCTCAGGGTCTAGTCCAGTGCTGACTGAATGAATGAATAAATGGGAAAATGAACTGTGAACTGCCCTATGAATTCAGGAAAAGCTAAATCACCATCCAGTTTGTTCCACTGCAGGCAGACTTGGTTTTGAATAGTAGCCAGCTCTATCATTTTGTCAGCTGAATTACTTTGGCCAAAGTCACTTAATATCCTTAAGCTTCATTTTTATACTTTGAGAAATAGGGCTACTAATAGAGTTTACTGTATGAGGTTGTTCTGAGGAAAAGTTAGGAAAATGCATTAGTACACAGTGCCATGTACATAGTTAAATGCATAAGAAAAGTTAACCATTGGTTTATTGCAGTTTTTTATTAGTAATTGCCATTTCGTGTGTGCCTACATGTGGTCCACAAGGAGAGCAATGATCTTTTTCATGTGCTCAGCAGGAACTTTTTTGTTGTTTTCTCTTTCTCCCTTCTCAGCAAGAGAGAAACTTAACGTCAGTTGGCATGCTGCAAGCTGAACATTAGCTGCTTTAAGTTTCAGTTTCATTTCTTTCCTTGAGTCTCTGAAGCCACGGTTCCTTAGAACCTTTTGTCTCAAAACTGTGGCTGCTTGATGAATTGGAACAGTTAATCCTCAATTTAAGCCTGATCCAACTCTTAAAAACAGGTAAGTGACTTCTTTCTTTCTATTCATAATAATTGAACATGTTTATGGAGTACATGTGATATTTTGATACATGCACACAATAGGTAATTCCCAAATTAGGGTAACTCAGATTTTCATCACCTCAATTATTTATCATTTATTTGTGTTAGGAATATTCCAAATCTTATTTGCTATCTATTTTGTGATATTCAATAAATTATTGTTAACTATAGTTACCCTACTGTGCTATGAACACTAGAACTTCTTCCTTCTTTTTTTTTTATTTTTATTTTTTTATTTTTTATTATTTTTTATTTTTTTTCCTGAACTGGACTTATCATTTTCCCCTCCCCCAAATCTGCTTTGCCTCTCCTATTTCCTGTCCTGATGATGACATCACCTTCTACACTGGCATCAATGCCAGAAGCTTCTCTGTTACCTTGGAATCTCTCTTGTTCTCTCTCTCTCTCAGCAGCCCATCACTCATCTGGCACTTTTAGCTTCTAAAATTCTCCCCAATCCATCTCCTTCTCTGTTTTCCCTCCACCGCTACTACAGATTTTGGGTCTTCATGTCTCTCGTCGCCTACTTTGTAGCAAATGTCTTCTACCTCATCTCACAGGCCACTCCTTCACCCCTTTAGTCTGCTACCCCAATTTTCATTCCCCTCCAGAGGCACCCTATATGAAACATATCAACCCTTTGTCCTCTGTCTCCCAGAGCTGTGGAAAGCAGTACCTTGGCCAGCCCGAACTGCTAGAGGTCCTGTGTGTAAACACAGAGCGCTTAAGTGGCAGAGGAATTGTGTGCAAACACAGGAGCTAGCCAGCCAATCTGTATTTGATTGCTGGGGTTCTTTAAATAAAAACAACTCTTGGGAGCAGTCATGCAAATACAGCAATTACACAATTAAAACCCTTGCCTCCAGGTCTAGAAGAAAGGGAAGCCGTGCTAGGGCTCACAATATATAAGGAAAAAGAAGCAAGGAAGGAAAGATGAGGGGGAAAGTGAGTTTCTTTTTTTTTTTTTTTTTTGAGACAGAGTCTCGCTTTGTTGCCCAGGCTAGAATGAGTGCCATGGCATCAGCCTAGCTCACAGCAACCTCAAACTCCTGGGCTCAAGCAATCCTCCTGCCTCAGCCTCCCTAGTAGCTGGAATTACAGGCATGTGCCACCATGCCCAGCTAATTTTTTCTATATATATTAGTTGGCCAATTAATTTCTTTCTATTTATAGTAGAGACGGGGTCTTGCTCTTGCTCAGGCTGGTTTTGAACTCCTGACCTCGAGCAATCTGCCTGCCTCGGCCTCCCAGAGTACTAACTAGGATTACACGAACTTCTTCCTTCTATCTAACTTTAATTTTGTACCCATTAACCAACCTCTTTCACTTTCTCCTCTGCCCTAAACTTCTCAAACTCTAGTAACCACCATTTTACTCCCTACCTCCATGAGATCAACTTTTATTTCCCACATATAAGTGAGAACAAGACAGGTAAGTGATTTATTGCTATCCAATGTTTCCTAGCTATGTGTGAAGAAAATAGCCTGCTTTCATTTCTTTGGAAAAGGGTTTCAGAATGGAATTGCCACTAATGGTCATATTTTTCTCTTTCATTTGTTCTTTTATTTTAATAGAAATTTCATACATGAATTAACTATAGAGAATAAATGAAGCTTAGTGTAATCCTCACACAGTTTTATTAGATTTTTTAAGTGATTTGCTTTATATATTTGAGTAGTTTTTTTCTTAAAAACAAAAGCATTAAAGATAGAGTTGAAGTGATCTGTGGATCTCTCCTATATTCTCTTTTTTTCCCTTCCTTCCCAGAGAGAAACACTATTCAGACTTTGGTATAGATTATTATCATGCTTATCTTTATGCTTTTACTATATGTATGTATGTATGTATTAAGCATCTAAGTGTGATCTCTAGTATTGCTTTATGCTAACATTTTATGTAAATAGTATTATTCTAAGTATCTCATTCTTAACTTGCTTTTTATACTCAAGATTAATTATTTGAGTTTTATCCATGTTGATAAAAGTAGTTCTAGTTCAATCACTTCAACTACTGTCAGGTATTTCACTATGTAAATTATACCAAAATTTGTGCATCCAATTTCCAATACTTTTCTCTTAAAGGCACATGCCCATCAGGACAATGTTGATACTCTTGAATCTCCATATCCTGGCCAACTAGTGGTATTGCTGGACTTCTGTTTTGATGTGAGATGACATCCCATCATTGTTTAACTTACAGCTCCATGTTACAAGAGTTGTTGAACATTTTTTTCAAATGTTTTATAGCCCATTTGGGTTACCTCAGTTTGTGAATTTCCTGTTCATACACTTTGACTATTTTTCTATTAGGATGCTTGTGATTTCTTTATTTCTTTTATAGGAATTCTACATATATATGCTAGATAATATTTATAGAATATACATTACAAATAGTTTGTTCTTGGGTGTGCCTTGTTTTAAATTGTATTTGTTGTATATTTTGTTATAAAAAACTTTAAAGTTTTAATGGAGTCAAATTTATCATTCTTTCCTTTATTGTTTGACTTTTTTAGTTCCTTATTTTAGAAATCCATTCTAATACAAAGGCCATAAAAGATATTCTTCAATGTTTTCTTCTAAGACTTTTTACATTTAATATTTCACAACAACTGAATTTATTTTTGGGGAGATTGTTGGGCTATAAGAATGATATGATTTAATTTTTAAAAATGTTTTCTATAGAGCTAACCACTTGCCCTTAAGACTGAGTAATTAGTATTACAAAACCAACTTTGTATTTGGGTTAAGTCCTTATCTACTTCACTTCTGTTTAACTGATGCTTGTTTCTCTCAAACTGCACCTCACTATATAAAGCCTCTGCACGTGAACTTAGCCTTGAGTTTTGTTTCTTAGGGGGCCCAGGCTATGAAACTTGGTCAATTACAAGGCTATTTACCTTTCTTAGTGCCACTACAACATTCTCCTAATTACTATAATTTTATAAAATTCTCAGCGTAGTATCCTTCAATAGTATCTTGGCTTTTTTTCTTGTAATATGTGAATTTTAGGACATGTGGATCATGGGAATTTTATTACATCTAATGGATAGAGTGTTCTTGAGTATTTGATTGCACTTACATTGAGTTTAAAGATAAAGTTTGGAGGAAATGACATCATTTTCAAGAAGACTCTTTTCATCTGATAATATAGTATAGATCTCCATTTATTGGGATCATCTTTCATTCTCTTCATAAAATTCTCCATTTAATTATCTCTTTAGAAATTGTTCACACCTCATATACTTAATTTTTGTAATAAGAATATTTAAAATTTATTCCTTTAGTAATTTTGAAATATACATTATTATTTACTATAGTCTCCATGTCATATAATAGATATCAAAAAACTTGTTCCACCTAATTAAAACTTCATATTCTTTTGGTCAACATCTTACTATTACCTCTTCCTTCTTCTACCTCTTATAACCACCATTCTACTTTCTACTTCTATAAGTTTAACTTTTTTTAGATTGCACATATAAGTGAGATCATTTGTTTTTCTGCACCTGAATTATTTCACTTAACATAATGTTCTCTAGGTTCATCCACATTTTTGCAACAGGATTTTCTCCTTTTAATGGCTGAATGATATTCCATTGTGTATATACACCACATTTTCTTTATTTATCTATTGATGGACACTTAGGTTGATACCATATTTGGCTATTGTGAATAATGACACAATGAATATGGGAGTGCAGATATCTGTTTAACATACTGATTTCAAATTCTTTTGAATATTTACTGCTACAGTCTGTGTTGCTATAAAGGAATATCTGAGTCTGGGTAATGTATAAAGAAAAGAGATTTATTGGACTCACAGTTCTGCAAAGTGTACAAGAAGCATGGTGACAGCATCTGCTTCTGGTGAGGGCATTCAGGGTGCTCCCACTCCTGAAGGCAGGCACAGGAGAGCTGCTGTGTGCAGAGATCACATGGTGAGAGACAGAAATCAAGAAGAAGCAAGAGAAAGAGGGGGACTTCCAAGTTATTTTAACAACCAGATTTTACAGGCAGGAATAGAGTAAGAACTCACTCATTACCATGAGAATAGGACTAAGCTATTTATGAAGGATCCACCCCCAGGAGCAAAGCACCTCCCACTTAAGCCCTACCTCCAACAATGGGGATCAAATTTCAACATGAGGTTTGGAGGGTCAAATATTCAAACTATAGTATACACCCAGAATTGGAATTGGTGGGTTATATAGTAATTCTATTTTTTGTTTTTTGAAGAACCTCCATGCTGTTCTCTTGAGGCTATACTAATTTACATTTCCACCAATAGTGAAAAAAACTTCCCTTTTATCCACATTCTCCTTAAGACTTATCTTTCACCTTTTTATTTATAGCCATTCTAATAGGTGTGAGGTGATATTCCATTGTAATTTTAATTTGCATTTTTTGATGGTTTATGGTTAGCACTTTTTCATAAACCTATTGGTTATTCATATGTCTTCTTTTGAGAAATGTTTGTTAAGATGCCTAGCTTATTTTGTAATTGGATATTTGGTTTTTTTTTTTTCTTATTGAGCTATGTGAATTTCTTTTATATTTTAAATATTAACCCCTTATTAGATATATGGTGCTATGATTTGAATGTGTGCATCCTATCCCAAATCTCCAATGTGATAATACTAAGAAGTGAGGCCTTTACCAGGAAATTAAGTCATGAGGGTGGAGCCCTCATGGTTGGAATCAATCACGGTCCTTATAAAAAGGCTTGGGGTTGAACAAGGAGTTAACTGTTAACTTCTTTCATATTTCAATTTCTTTCTTTCTGAGCAATTTTCTCCATAAATTCCTCAGTTCTATTTCATGGGTTGGCAAAGTATGGCCTACTGTGTTCCAGCCACCTATTTTTGTAAAGAGAGTTTTATTGGAACACAGTCCTACTTATTTGTTTACATATTGTCTCTGACTGCTTTTGGATTACAATGGCAAAGTTGAATAGCTGTGGCAGAAACCATATGGGCCACAAGGCTAAAATATTTAATATCTGGTTAATTAAGAAAAAGTTTGCTCACTTATATCCTAATTGATTATTTTTTCTTTATTCTTTATCCATTCTGAAATTTATTTTGTCAAATGATTTAAAAAGTTTAATGATATTTTTATTTCTAAATTATATATTTCATATCTACTTATTATTGTGCCACCTCTATATGGTTTTGCCTTACAATCCAAATAATGTGTTTTAATTGAGTCAGAGAAAAAAGAACACAGAAACTAGAAGTAGAATCTCTGCTATGCTATAAGTTACTATGTTATACTCACCTCTCAACCTATAATTGTTTTTCCATTACATACAGAACAATGAACATGACAACAAGATTGACATGGAATGATGAAAAGCGTCTGCGAAAGCTATTTGGAAATGTTTCGTTGAGTCTTCTTTATAAATCTAGTGTTCATGGATCTGGAGTTACAGATATGGTTCAGCATTGCAGTCATCAGGGATCCACTATAACAATGATTTACCTTCATCACGTTATTATTGGGGTCTTTATGCTTGGGAATTATCCTAGATTATGGGAACGTTTTGAAGAACCACATTATTCCTTTTTTTTTCCATTTAGAAGTAAAGATAACATAACTGAAATGCACACTTTTCCTTTAAATATGGCACCACAAGCTACTGATAATCAACTGACGTATTATTTATCTGCTGAGAAGGTTTTCTGTCTGTGTCCACACAATAAGACACTTTATCTACATGAAAATGTAATAAAATCATTAGGACTATTTCAACGAAGGGCTCCAGATCGCTACGAATATTTGGAATGTGAAGTTTTTCGAGTTGAAGGTATGTCCAATGAGGTAATCCCACATCCTACATTCTGGTTCTGGTCTTTGTGTTTGATAGATAATTATCAATTTATGAGAACAAGGAAAAGTGAGAGAAACAGATTTCATGCCACTTAATAGACTTTCATAAAATCCAAAATGAAACCTGGGGGACATAAAGTTTATAAAGGTATTACTCACAAAGTATAGGCTGCTTTGAGCAGAGTAAGTTAAGAGATATTCATAGAGGTATTCATAGAGATAGAAAATGAGATAGAGATGGAGTTGGGAGAAGGGGGGAAGTGGGGAAAATAGGTATCTTACCATCAGAGCTAGTCTTTTTTTGACATATGACTCAAAGATCAGTTTTAGGACCTCTAGGCATAGTTATGTGAGAGTTTCCAGAGGGAATTAATGTGCAGAGAGGATAATATTCCCCCCTTCTCCTCTCATTATGCTGCCAACCCTAACTCCTAACTGAACAGCTCAGTTCTGGGTTATTCAAGCAGACTCAATGTCCTATTTAAAAAGTAGACGACCACATTTAACCAGACAAGTTTAAAAACTTATTATGCTATGTTTATTTCTTATAGGAGTTAAGGCTAATCTAAGCTACATGAAGAGGATAATGAACGTCACACAGTAAGTTAGATTCTTGGACTATCTATTATTCATTTCAGTTAGAATAATTGTATAAAGGGTGGTGACAATGAAATAGTAAAGATAAAAATCATATCACTTGGAATGATAAAACATGAGTTATAATGTTGACATTAAATGTTCAAGGTGGTCGAGAATAACAACAATGACAAAACCACTACCAACTGTGAAACGTTTAAAATCCACTTGGTGACAATTGACTGGTTTGACTTGTGTTTCCCTTTGAACCTGTTAGATTCAAAGTTTTTGAGATAGAGTCTGGATAACCATTTTAGATAATTTCTCTCAGTCCTTTCCTTGAGAATACATTTTTTTGAGAATTCTCAGTAAATGTCAAAAACAAACCCTCTTTTCTGATTTATGGATAGATAGCTACATCATATATATTTTATTTTGATTTCTGCTTAATATATTTTTAGTAAAAATAATTAATCTTAAGCATTACTGATATTTCTAATTAGATTTATGTGATCTAAGGCTAATAGTTTAACAATGTTTCGGTTGCTGGTTAATGTTTAACTCTAGTCAGATATAAAAAAATGCAATTTCTTCAAGCACAAAATATATAACCTTAGACATTTCAAATCGTATTATATAATATACTACTGTCAAAATAATGTTATTAAAATATACACTCAAAAGGGAAGTAAAAGAAGCTCCAGGTGAATTGTGCTGTTCTATCTGAAAGTTTGGCTGTTCTGTTAAACTACTACATTTTAACAGGCACAGAAATAGACTTCTAGAAGAACTCAGAGCCTACAAACTTTATGCAGATTGGGTTTCAAAAGTTCATATTCTCTTGCTGGGTCCAGTTGGGTCTGGAAAGTCCAGTTTTTTCAATTCAGTCAAGTCTGTTTTTCATGGCCGTGTGACTCGCCAAGCAATAGTGGGATCTGATATCACCAGCATTACTGAACAGGTAAGTTATTTTAGGATTACCTGAGAATTTTATCTTATAGATCACAATCATTGTATTTGTTCATTTGTTTGCCTTTTTCTCTCAGAACATAAATCTCCTGATCTGCAAACTTAAATCCTAAATCAAATGTAAAGCAGAAGTAAAAGTTGAGTCAGAATTGCCTCCATTGAGTTATATTACACAGAGAAACTTTCAATTTTTATGGATGCAAGAAGGGGTTATATGAAGAATGCTTTTTGGTGTTTGTAGAAAAAAGCAACGGAATTTTTAAAATCCTGTGGAAATCTAAGTCCATTATACTTGATGTTCATTTTTATGGATGTACCACATGATTTTAGCTGGATTGAAATGCTTTTCTCTTTTTTTGTAAGAAAATAATGATAATTACATAAGACAATACTTTCTTTTTATTATATAAGACCTTTCTGTAAGAAATGGTGATAAAAAGCAAAACAGCAATTCACTTTGGTGGGCCAACCTTTGAAGGGTAAATCTAAATAAACAGACTTAAGGAAATAAGTAGTGATTCTTAATTGTTTTCTAAATAGCTACAAATTAGGGTGTCTAGAAACTTCCTTCTGGTTTATGCTTGTTAGTGTTATCATACAATCAAACCAAAAACAATAAAAGGAAAGAAAAGTATAGAATAGACCATTTTAGAATCAGGTCTTTTTTTTTTTTTATTACTACAACCTGTTGTGGTCATTTGTTGGGGATTATGCTGTGTATAGTCAAATTTAAGCACAATTTAGCATAATATAAGACAGTAATGGTTCATTTTACTTTTTGTGTCACATTCAGTAACTGAAAGCATTTGTAGGACTTTCAACAATCACATCTTATTTCCTGATGTTGGCCAGATACTATCCTCTTGAGTGGCTTTATATAAAATATCAATCTAATCTCAGAAGCCAAGGCAAGATACCCCTACAAAAATTTAATTCATTGAGCATTGATTGAAATGTTTCTATTTGCTAAATATTGTGTTGGCAATAAAGACTTAAATACAAGTAATACTTGGTCCTATTGCTTAGGGATCTCAGAAACCAAAGCAGGTAATAAATAAATAAGAACATTCAATGTAATAGATGCTACAATAGAGATACTATTCAGGAAAGAATTCCTCTTTTTTCCTTTTAAGTTTTAAGAGGTAATTTTAATACAATAGTTTTAAAACTATTGTTTTAAGAGAAGATGTAGATCCTGAACTCCAAATAAAATGGAAATACTATATAAATTGAAGAAATATAGGGCTAAATTTTCATGAGGGAAATAGAATATTTATGATCAGAGACCCTTTCTTTTGAAGAATTGAAGTTATAAAGGAAACTAATTAATGGTTAAAGAGACTATGAAAGGGCATATTTATATTCTTAAAATTTTAAAATTCTTTGCATAGTTCCTTTCATGGTGACGCACCAGTGAATTCCATTCTCTTAGATTGAAATCTTCAATGGGATTATTCCTAGGCATGCATGGATCCATGGGAGTTTTTGACTCCATCATGAATTACAATAGGTCATAAAGGGGTTCTCTTCTTCCTGGTTTGGGAATGTGACAGACATTTGCCGGCACCACAAATGGAAGAATTAAAATTAAAATCCTGCTGGTGTCTCTGAGAAACATTTTCTTTGTCATTCTTCCCAAATCGTCCATATATGTTACTTATGTTGGAAATGTGTCTGACCAACAAATATAATTTTTTCAGAATTCTTCTGAAAAATACTCTTGGAATCAGATTGAATGTATTTATCTAGAAGAAAAGATTTGATTAAAGTTATGCTTCTCGAAATGAGGTCTGTGGACCTCTGGGTTTTTCTGAGACACTTTAAGGAGATCTGTAAGTTCAAAACTATTTTTAGAATAATTCTAAGATGCTTTTTTTTTCCTAATATTTTGGCATTCAACCTGATTATACAATAATTACAACCTGATTAAAACAATAATAGTTTTACATGTTGGCACTTTAACGCAAATCAAGCAGTGATACCAAACGCTACTAGTAGTCACTGTGTTTCTCTTCATCACTGCACTTACAGGAAAAACAAACAAAATACCAGTCATACTTAAGAATATCCTTGATGAATCAGTAACAGTTATTGGTCTTATTTAAACTCCACTTTAGAGTACATATCATTTTAATATTCAATGTGATAAAATGGGAAGGGAACATAAGGTACTTATAATGCACATTGAAATGTGGTGGTTGTTAGGAAAAGTACTGAAGCTAGCACCAGGCAGAAGCCCATGGTCCCAGACTTTAGTCCAGTACCTGTGGGCTGAGCCTCTAGACTCATTCTAGAATCAGACAAGACTGTGTGGCCCCAGGCATCAGCTTGCATGGTGGACTCATCCATGGACCACAGCACTGCTGGATTATTAGTAGCCCCAAGCTGTGAACAGACCTTAGTGGCAGGAATGCCTTAGTGGCCCCCAGCTTCAGGAATGCTCCAGTACTCTACTAGCCACATTGGGCCCAGGATTTAGAACAATGACAATGCCAGACAGCCTGCCCAGAATCCCTGGGTAGACTGACTATTGAAGGGCTTTCTCAGACAATACCAGTCTTCAAAGACTGGATTAAGTACCTACTTCTTGAATTGTTTAGACATTGGCACATGATCACAAGGATCAAGAACAATCATGGAAACATGACATCACCAAAGTTATGAAATAATGCAGCAGTGGCCAACCCTAAAGAATGGAGACGTATAAACTGCCTGAGGAATTCAAAGTTACTGTTTAAGGAAGGTTGGCAAACTTCAAGAACATTTATAAATGTAGTTCAACAAAATAAGAAAAATAATAAGTGAATGAACAAGAAATTTAAAAGAAAGATTGAAATAATAAAAAAAATGATCAACCAGAAATCCTGGAGCTAAAAAAATACAATAAATAAAATGAAAAATATAATAGAATCAACAGCAGACTTCATCAAGCAGAAGAAGGAGTCTGTGAACTCAAAGACAGGTTATTTGAAAATATAGTCAGAGGAAAAAAAAAGATGTAAAGGAAAGAAGAAAGCTTATGAAATTTATGGGAAAGCATAAAATAGCAAATATTCAAGTTACAGGGATAAAGGGAGACAAGAAAGTAAGAGGAATAGAAAGTTTATTTAAATAAATAGTAGCACAAAAACTTCCAACATGGAGAAAGATGTAAATATTCAGGTGCAGGAGGGTTAAAGGTCTGTAATCAGATTTAATTCAAACAACACCAACCCAAGCCATATTATAATCAAACTGTAAAATATCAAACATATGTATATTAATACATGTGGTGCATTTATTAACAGAATAAAAGACAAAACCATAATATAATTTCAGTACATTCAGATAAAGCATTTGACAATGTATAATCCTTTCATGATAAAAACTCTCAATAAATCAGGTACCGAAGGAATGTACCTCAACATAATATAGGCCATATTTGACAAACTCATAGCTAACATCATACTCAATGGAGAAATATTGAAATATATTTTTGTAAGTTCCGGAGCAAGACTAGGATGTCCTCTCTCACCAATTCTATTCAACATAGTACTGGAAGTCCCAGCTAGAGTGATTAGGCAAGAGAAAGAAATAAAGGATATCCAAATTGAAAAAGAAGAAGTTAAGTTGTCCCTGTTTTCAGATGACATAATCTTTATCTAGAAAACCCTAAAGACTACACCAAAATATGGTAGAACTAATGCACAAATTCAGTAAACTTTCAGGATACAAAAATTACTAGTGTTTCTATACACTAACTGCAAACTACCTGAAAAAGAAATCAAGAAACAATCTCATTTATAATAGTTACAAAAAGATAAAATACTTAGGAATGAATTTAAATAAGGAAATGAAGGATCTCTATACTGAAAAATACAAAACATTGATTAAAGAAATTGAAGAAGATACAAATAAATGAAAAATATCCCAGAATGAAGGATTGGAAGAGTTAATATTGTTAAAAAGTCTATAATAACTGAAGCAAGCTATAGATTTGATGCAATCCCTATCAAAATACTAATGATGTTCATCATAGAAATTTTAAAAAACCACTAAAATTTATATGGAACCACAAAATACTTTGAATAATCAAAGCAATCCTGAGCAAAAAACCAAGGCTGGAGGCATTGCACTACCTGACTTCAAAATATACTATAAAAATATGGTAACTAAAACAGCACGGGACTTGGATAAAAACAAACATATAGATCCATGGAACAAAATCAACATCCCAGAAATAATTCCATATATGTATAGTCAACTGATTTTCAACAAAGGTGCCATGAATAAACAATGGGATAAGGATTGTCTCTTCCAAAAATGGTGTTGAAAAAACTGGATATCCACATATAGAAGAATATAATTAGACCCTTATCTCAAAGCAAATACAAAAATCAACTAAAAGTGGATTAAAGACCTCCATGTAAGACCCTAAACTATAAAACTACTAGAATAAAACATTGGCAAAAAGCTCCATGACATTTATCTGGGCAATGATTTTTTAGACATAACCCTGAAAGCATAGGCAACAAAAGAAAAAAATAGAAAAATTGAATTACATAAAAGTAAAAAGCTTCTGTACAGCAAAGGAAACAATAAATAGAATGAAGAGACAACAAACAGAATGGGAGACAATATTTGCAAATCATATGTCTGATAATGGCTTAATATCCAAAATATGTAAAGAACTGAAACAATTCAATAACAGGAAAGAAAATAACCCAATTAAAAAATGAACAAAGCACCTCAATAGATATTTCTCAAAATAAGGCGTACAAATGGCCAGCAGATATATGAAAAGGTGCTTAACATGACTAATAATCAGGGAAATGCAAATCAAAACCACAATGCAATAATCACCTTGCACCTGTTAGAATGGCTATTATCAAAAAGACAAATGATAAGTGTTGGTAAAGATCTGGAGAAAAGGGACACTTGCACATTGTTGGTGGGAATGTAAATTAGTATAGCCTTTATGAAAAATATTATGAAGGTTCTTAAAAAATTAAAAATAAAACTACCATATGATCTAGCAATCCCACTACAAAGTATATATTAAAAGGGAGCAAAATCAGTATGTAGGAGAGATATCTTCACTTACCTGTTTATGGCAGCATTACTCACAATTGCCAAGATATGGAATCAACTTACGTGTCTATCTGTGAATGAATAAAGAAAATGTTTTTAAGATATCTATACTACCCAAAGTGATCTACAGATTCAGTGCAATCCCTATTAAAATACCATCCATTTTCTCATACCTAGAAAAACTAATTTCATGCTTTGTATGGAACCAGAGAAGACCCCGTATAACCAAGGCAACATTAAGCAAAAATAATAAATTGGGAAACAGCAATTTACCAGACTTCAAGCTATCTGACAAGGCTGTAATAACCAAAACAGCATGGGATTGGCACAAGAATGAGAGATATAGACCAATGGAAAAGCACTGAGAACCATATATAAAACCATCCTCATGTTGCCATCTGATCTTTGACAAAGCAGACAAGAACATACACTGGGGAAAAGAATCTTTAATAAATGGTGCTGGGAAAATTGGGTAGTCACATGTAGAAGATTGAAACAGGATCCTTACCTCTCACCACTCACAAAAATCAACTAACAATGGGTAATGTACTTAAACCTAAGGCATGAAACCATAATAATTTTAGAAGAAAATGTTGGAAAAACTCTTATAGACATCAGCCTAGGCAAAATATTTATGAAGAAGATCCCCAAATCAATCACAGCAACAACAAAAATAAATAAATGGGACTTGATCAAATTAAAAAGCTTCTGCACAGCCAAGGAAGTTAATATGAGAGCAAATAGACAATCTACAAAATGGGAGAAGATATTTGCTTGCTATACATCTGATAAAGGGCTGATAACTAGAATCTGTATAGAACTCAGGAAAGTCAGCAAGAAAAAGAATCAATCTCATTAAAAAGTGGGCAAAGGACATGAACAGAAACTTTTCAAAAGAAGACAGAATAATGGCCAAGAAACATGGAAAAATGCTCAACATCTCTAATCATCAGGGAAATGCAAACCAAAACCACAATGAGATACTACTTACCTCCAGTGAGAATGGCTTTTATCAAAAAGTCCCCAAATGTTGGCATGGATGTGGAGAGATAGGAGCACTCACACACTGCTGATGGGACTGCAAACTAGTACAACCTCTGTGGAAAGCAGTATGGAGATACCTCAAAGAATCAAAAGCAGAACTACCATTTGATCTAGAAATCTCACTACTGGGTATTTACCCAAAGGAAAAAAAAGACATTCTATAAAAAAGACATCTGCACTAGAATGTTTATAGCAGCCCAATTCACAATTGCAAAGATGTGGAAACAACCCAAGTGCCCATCAATACAAGAGTAGAGTAACAAAATGTGGTATATATATACCACGGAGTAATACTCAGCCATAAAAAAGAAGGGTGAGCTACCACTTGTATTATCCTGGATAGAGCTGGAACCGATTCTTCTAAGTGAAGTATGACAAGAATGGAAAAACAAACACGACATATACTCACCATTAAATTTGTACTAATCAATAAAAATTTATGTCCACATCTGGAGGTAACATTCATGAGGTGTTGGGCAGGTTGGGGGTTAGGTGGGGGTGGGTAAACTCACACCTAAGAGGTGCGGGGTGTGCCGTCTGGGGGATGGGCACACTTGTAGCTCTGACTCAGGAGGTGCAAAGGCAATTTATGTAACCAAAGTGTTTGTGACCCCGTAATATTCTGAAATTAAAAAAAAGGAAATATATAATATATGCACAATGGAATACTATTGAGCCATAAAAAGAAGAAACTCCAGTCATGTTATATTTAATAATCCATTTATTATGTTAATAATCAAGACAAATAGCACATGATTTTACTCATCTGTGGAATCTAAAAAATTGATCTCATAGAAGTGGGGAGTAGAATGGTGGTCCAGGGGTTAGAGTGGTTGGGGAGTAGGGTTGGGATATGTTGGTCACAGTATACAAGGTTTTAGTTAGTTAGGAGAAATAAGTTCAGGAGATCTGTTGCACAACATAGTGACTATAGTTAATAATATATTGTATTTTTGAAAAATTCTAAGTGAATATAAAATGTCCTCCCCAGAAAAGTGATATATATGAGCTAATGCATAAGTTAATTAGCTAGTTTCAGTTATCTCATTATATATATATATATATATATATATACTTCAAAACATGTTGTACATGATGAATACACATAATTTTATCTTTTAATTTTAAAAAACAGAAACATTTAATTTTTTTCAGTTTTAATTTCTAATTGTTAACTATGTATAGATATAACCCCCATAAATAACATATCTTTGGGGTTTTCATAATTTTAAGAGTCTAAAGTGTTCCTAAGATGAAAATGTTTGAGGGTAATGCTGTTAAAACATTAACCAGTCTCTATTCTTCTTATTGTCATTTCTTGAATGCTGGCTGAAGAATGAACTTTTACACTTGATATACTTTTTTTTTTTTAACAGTATAGGACATATTCTGTTAAAGATGGAATTAGTGGAAAGTCTCTGCCATTTATGTTGTGTGACTCCATGGGGCTAGATGAGACAGAGGGAGAAGGACTGTGTGTGGATGACATCCCCCCCATCTTAAAAGGTTCTATACCAGACAGATATCAGGTAAGGTGTCCTCAATATCCAAAATATTTTAAATCTTTTCATTGGGACCTTTCATTGAATTTTTGCCTCATAAGCTGATTCAACTGCGATAATTTGGTTTCAATATCAACCAACACTACTGTACTTTAAATGAACAAATATTCATGTAAGAAAAGCAGAATGTTCTTTTCTGTAACATTGAGAAATAAACCCAAAAGGTATGATTCTACTCATCCAGGTTCAAGTAAAAGGCCAGATAGATATTGTGTCTATATCCCTCTTTATAATGATGTAAACTAATAGGAAAGTAATGGTTTAATCTCTTGCACTTTTTGATTAACATAGACAAAATATTGGGACAAGTAACTAGTTTCTGTTGAAGTGTGATATATTGTAAGTGCTTAGGCTTCACTACTAAATACCTAGATACAAAGATTGGCTCTGCCACTAATTAAATGTATATCCATAAGTAATTTGCATACTTATCACTCTAAGTTTTGTTTTTTTCATGTGGGAAATGTAGGTATTAATAGTGTCCATCTCATAGAGTGGCTGAAGAGATTAAATGAATAATGCACTCTAAGTTTTCAAAAAGCTAACCATAATTATTACCTTTCAAAAGAAAACAGTATTGGTATAATAGAATCAGCCTCAATTTCTAAAAAATAACCCCTCCCTATTGTGCTTGATTGGAAACCTTACCTATGTACTCATTTATTCATTCAAAAACTATTTCTTAAAAACCTAATTTGTGCCAGACACTAAGCTAGTTATTGAAAACACATAGTTGAATGAAAGCACAGTTTTTATCCTCAAGGACCTCACAGTATTCTCAGGGAAAAGGAGGCACAAAGATATAGAGAGGAGGAAGAGAGTGGAGAAATGGGAGAACTCAGGAGTATACTAACATCCTCATTTTTCACAGCAAAGGGACAGTTAATTCAGTCCAACACTGAAAGATGTAGTTAAAAAACTACACTTTCCTAAACTATTGCTATGTTTTGTAATCTATTTTCTTAATCTCGGGAAGATTATTGTCTCATGGTAAGTAGATATTAACTTGAAAGTTGACATGTCTTTCTTTTCACTTCTGTTTAATTGTCTTCTGTAAAATTAAAATAAATTATAGTATCTTAATTTAAATGGCATTTTCAACATATTTTTCTCTCTCCTTTCTCTATCCATTAGTCCCTTTAAGCATGCAAATACTTTGAGAGGAGTTTTGAATGGTAATGTTAATGGGATTTACTTATGGAGACTAGGATTTGAAGTTAGCTTTCTTTAAAAAAAATTCTTTGTACTTTCCTGCAATATTTACAGTGACTAATTTTCATTTTTACCAAAGCAATGAAGTTTTTTTTTTCTATGCAAAAGACATAATGGCATTGTGCTTACAGTGGAAAGGAAGTGTAAAGAGGATACCTGGGCAAGGAGCAGCTGAGGGGCATGAGGAAAAGTTTTAGGTTGGAGGTTAGAAGTGATGGTATTTTATTTATTTCAAAATATAATATTGCAGGGGTACAAATGTTTTCGGTTACATGGATCACTTTTGTAATGCTTGTGTCAGGGTTATAAATGTTCCCATCACTCAGATAGTGTTCGCTGTACCCGTTAGGTATATATTCCCTTCCCCTCCTCTTTCCTTCCCCCTGCTTGATTTCCACTGAGTTTTACTTCCCTCTGTGATCATGTGTGTTCATTATTATTTCCAATTTAATAGTGAGTACATATGGTGTTTGTTTTACCATTGTTTAGATGCCTTACTTAGGATAATGGTCTCCAGTTTCATCCAAACTGTTGCAAAAGGCATTAATTCATCCTTTTTGTGGCTGAGTAGTATTTCATATTATACATAAACCATATTTTGTTAATCCACTCATGAACTGATGGGCACTTGCATTGATTCTGCATCTTTGCAATTGTGAATTGTGCTGCAATAAACATTCAAGTTCAGGTCTCTTTTTGATAAAAAGACATCTTTTCCTCTGGGTAAATACCCAGTAGTGGGATTGCTGGATCAAATGGTAGGTCTACTTTTAGTTCTTTGAGGAAGCTCCATACTGTTTCCTGTAGAGGTTATACTAATTCTCAGTCTCATCAGCAGTGTATAAGCATTTCTTTATCTCTGCACCCACACCAACATCTATTGTTTTTGGACTTTTTAGTAAAAGCCATTCTAACTGGGGTAAGGTGATATCTCATTGTGGTTTTAATTTGCATTTCCCTGATGATTAGTAACATTGAGCATTCTCTCATGTATTTATTGGCCACTTATTTATCTTCTTTTGAAAATTTTCTGTTTATATCCATTGCCCACTTTTTAATGGCTTTTTTTTTTTGTTTTTTCCTTGCTGATTTGCTTGAGTTCTTTATAGGTTCTAATTATTAGCCCTTTATTGGATACATAGCTTTTGAATAATTTCTCCTATTCTGTAGGTTGTCTCTTTGCTCTTTTGATTATTTCCTTAGCTGTACAGAAGCTTTTTAATTTATTCAAGTCACATTTATTTATATTTGTGGTTGTTGTAATTGCCTTTGGGGTATTTTTCATAAATTCTTTGCCTAGGCTGATATCTCTAAGAGTTTTTCCTACATTTTCTTCTAGAATTCTTGTGGTTTCATGTCTTATATTTAAGTGTTTTATCCATCTTGAATTAGTTTTTGCTAATGGTGAGAAATATGGATTCTGTTTCATCATTCTGCATGTGGCTATTCAATTTTCCCAGCACCATTTATTGAATAGGACTTCTTTTCCCCAGTGTATATTTTTGTCTGCTTTATGAAAGATTAGTTGGCTGTTGTAGATGGTTTTATGTCTGGGTTTTCTGTTCTGTTCCATTGGCCTATGTCTCTATTTTTTGTGACAGTAACATGCAGTTTTGGTTACTGTAGCCTTGTAGTATAATTTGAAGTCTGGTAATGTGATATTTCCAGATTTCTTCTTTTTTGCTTAATATTGTTTTTCCTAAATAGTCAGTGATGGTATTTGAAACATTAATTAATTGCATCTTAAAGAATTTAGGAGAAGCTCTGTGAATTCTGAATGTTACCTTATGTTTCCTTAACAGTTTAATCCCCATAAACCAATTACACCTCAGCATTCTGACTTCATTGCCTTTCCATCACTCAAGGACGGAATTCACTGTGTGGCTTATGTCTTAGACATCAACTCGATTAACAATCTCTCCTCTAAAATGGTGGCAAAGTTCAAACAAATTCACAAAGAAGTATTAAACTGTGGTGAGTCTAACAGTACTTATCAAATATTTTTGTTTTTAAATAATTATAGATTTACGAGAAGTTGCAAAGAGATTATAGAGAGATTCCATGTACCCTTCACACAATTTCATGAGCCCTGGGTTGGTGGTAGCAAGGAGAGATTATGTACAGGTTTGATGGAAGAAAGGCCCTAAATACTAATTTAATATTATATATGTCAATTGAGAACTGTCCTCTACCAGAGACCAGGTGTCAACTAGCCAATTTTGCTAGTTATTCCTCTGGGACTTGAATTAAGAGAGGATAGTAAAGCCAATAACTTAATAATGGGAACTGGAAACACAAGATTTCTGTAAGGAAGAAATACTAAAAGCTCTGGTAAAGGAGTCTCAGGGGTTTCCTTAACTGGCATTTGAAATTCTCAATTTTACAATATTTTTTTTCCTTAGAAACAGTTGTTAGCATAGCAGAATTTTTATTTGTTTACAAGCCAAGTGTGATTTACTAACCTGATTTCTGTGGTTTGAGGGGGAAGGTGGCAGGTCTTAGTAGAACTATGAAATTAGTACAGTTTGCTTTTATAAATGCTCATACACAACCCTCCCCACCTTCTCTCTTTCTTTTTTTGTCCCCAAATTCCAACAACTACTTTTCCCCTTTTACCACTTAAAATACACTCTTTAAATAGTATAGATTATTGCAATTTAATATGAATTTAATTGCATTTAAAAGTGGTCTCTAACATTGGAAGTAAAAGATCATTTTTCCATTAGAAAAACTTCAGATTCCATATCAAGATTTATTGGGAATATTTCATTCTCCAACTCTTAAAGTCACCTTATAGAGTTGCTTTTACATCTGTTTAATAACTTGTTGACACATTGCTATTTATGAAATAAAATAACTGATTTATCTGTTTGATATAGGTATGGCACATGTAGTCTTGCTTACTAAAGTGAAAAATTACAATGAAGTTCTTCAAGATAACTTTCTAAACATGAAGCAATCTATGACTTCTCAAAGCCAGGTAAAGAATGCTGTGTTTAACTAGATGTTATTTTAATAGAATCATAATCATACGTGTGTGTGTGTATGTGTGTGATCACACATCTTCACAGGTAAATAAAGAATTGGGTCAATTGCAGTTAGTTCAAGTTTATATTCCACTTCAAAACTGTAGTTATCTGAATTATATATTATGTTCTAGAGAGAATTTATCAAGTCATTGATTTTTTTGTTTTCCTTCTTGAGTTGTATTTAAAATTGATCAAATTTCAAATATAAGACTTATGCTTCTTAATATATTTTCTATAGGTAAGGAATGTCAACAACATGCTAGGCATTCCTATTCATAATATCTTGATGGTTGAAAATTATGCATCAGAGTTTGAGCTGGACCCTGTAAAGGACATTCTGATTCTCTCTGCACTGAAGCAGATGCTGCGGGCAGCAGATGACTTCTTAGAGGATGTGCCTCTTGAGGAAACTGGTAACCTGGTCCCTTTCTGCCCCTCATAAAGCATTGGTGCCTTTTGAAAAACCCAAGGATACACCTCAGTTAGATGGCTAGGGCACATCTGCCTACCCTGGTCCTGATAGCCACATTAGGATAGGTGTTCCATTTCCATTCTTGTTTGTTTTGTTTTCAGGTAAATTATGCAAATAGCCTGTGACATCAGTTATCTTGATTCTGACACTTGACTTGATCCTGTGTTGGAGTGCACCAACTACAGTGCATCCCTGTTGACAGCCTCCTTCAGACTCTGCTTTTGTTCATGTTTTGTCTTCTGTCCTTGGATCAGTCATACCTCAAGTCCAAAAATGCCAAGCCTGAGAAGTAGTGTGCTAAAATAGGCCCTACCACAAACCACCCTGCATACATATTTCTGGAGAAATTCTGTACAATTTCTAGATGTTACCATTTCTAATTTAATTTCTGTGACACCTTTCTAAACCTCTCCAGGCAAAATTAGCTATTCCCTTACTTATTCCTGTATGCCACTTTATATAAAACTTTGTGAGTACTAATTATATTGCATGATGATTATAAAATGATTATATAGAAATATGTTTTCCTAAATAGACTGTGAGTTCTTTGAGAAACAAGGTTTGGATTTTACTTGTCTTTGTTTTCACAGAACTTAGCATAGTGCTTGGTAATGAGCAAGCACACCTGCATTTACTCTTCCCTCCCTCGCTCCCCAGAGTGACAATGTTTACTTTAACATTTTCTCCAGTAGAGAAGGGAATATTGAGAGAGAATGAAATGCTGGAGAGAGAAAACAGAAATGAAGAAGATGAAATGCTTTGCTTATCTCTGAATAAAAATATGAATACTCTTAATAATTGATTTAAATTAATTAAAATGAACCAATATTTTTAACAACTTACATTTTATTTCTGTGGAAAAAAATAAATTTTCTTCTGATAAACCCATGCTTGTTTTTCATTAATTAAATTCCAAACCATCCTAGCCACATCTCCAAAGCAGAGTGATCAAATCAGGTTGCTGGTGGAAGTCAGTAAGAGGGCTTTCATACAAGTGCCCCAAATGATTCTGAAGTCCTCTTGGTAGCTGTCCAATAGATCATTTTAAAGGTTTTTTTTTTTTCATAAAGACTTCTTAACTCTCTTCTATGAATTTCTTAATCATTTTCAAAAGAATATGGCTTGGTTCAATAGTTATCTATATTCTAACAGTCTAATTTATTTTTAACCAGAATTATTCTCTTTTGGGTAGTCACAGGTATTAAGAGGGCAAGAGCTTCTTAGGGCTAATTACAGGATATTTCCTAAAGCAAAGCTGCAGGTGACTCTGTACTCAAGTGAATGTACAGGAGCCATGATTCAGTGGAAAAAATGGAGTCTTCAGAAAAGATCTAGGAATAGACTGGTCAAGGAAATTGAGGAATAGAGCCAGAAGTTGATATTTGGCACAAAAGTAGATTGGCAACCAGAACAGTTATGACAGAGATATAGAAGTAGTAGGTACAAAAAGTAGGGCATGTTTTCTTCTATGTAATCCAGGGGAAAAAATAGGCCATGACCATTGTTGATTGGGAGAGACTGAAGGTGGTTGAATATTCACCTTTGTCCTCAGCAACTACAGGGGCATAACTCATCCATCCCTATGAAAAACATCCCAGAAAAATATCTGGGCAGAATATGGGACTTTTTTATTTAGTTTAAAGGAGTATCCTTATGAAGAAGATGGAGACCCTGAAAGGAAGAGGAGGAGTAATGGAGAGATCAGGAGAGATATACAATGAAGGACTGTCTATATGAACCAACATCCTTTAGGAGTATAAAGGATGTTGAGGCTAAGATCTCCTTTTTGTGCTAAGAAGGACACTGTTAGCAAAATGATGTCATGACTCTTCTTCCTTGGGCTCTGTACTGCTTTGGCAACACTTAAACATCCAATAGAGTTAAATGTATATTTGAAAGTTAGGTTGGGAAATATTGGTGAGGCGATCTCAAAAAGGGAGAAATTTATCTTTTATCTGGGAGGGGACTTTTCACTTTGTGGATTTTCATGATCTTTCTCTAGCATCCTGAGGTGTAGTAGGACTTATCACTCTGCTACATTCTAGAGGTCATCCAAGATTTTTGCTCTTTACATAATTTACCATTGAGCAAGGTATATAGCTCAGCCAAAGTTGCTGAATTCTTTCTTAGCAAAATAGTGCTAAGAGATGTAGCAGATGACATATAAGTGTAATGAGAGGTAGAAAATCACCCTAAAGTAGGAGAGATGTTGTAGAGACAGTTTAAGCCTCAGTGCTAGAGCCTTTGCCATGTGGGTGGGTAGGTTAGGTGGTTGCATTAGAAAGTGACTGTTTCTGATGGAAATTTGTAGCTTTGTGTAAACTCACTGTCATGAGTGGTACAAGGCCAGAGATAACCAGGTCCACACATGTTTATGTCTTTCCACACTGCCAGACTTTGATTGATGGTATTTCAATCATAAAATCCATGAGCTATGGTGGGATTTCCAAGAAGGGAATTTTCCATACCACTGCCCATTCACTTAGGCATCAGAGCTACTGACACACAGTCTCAAGCCACTCTACAAGTCAGTCAATATTGCGAACCATATATAGTATTATATTTAATTCAATCTATAAATGTTATAGATTAAAATGTCCACATTAAACAAAATAACTTTAACATCAAGGGAAAATGGGGATAGGAACAGGGGTTAAGGAACCAGTCCAAATGAGACAGGCTGATTGATCAGTTTCCTGTTTAGACATAGTTTCTTATTCTGATATGGTCCAGAAATTATAACCTACCTAATTTTAGCCAATTAAGGACAAGAGAACAAACACCCATTGACCACAAATCCTGCTCTAGGTGTTGCCAAAACTGCAAGGGGGTTTTGTTCTAGGTTCAGTTGATAGTTACATAATGATCCAATTGTTGAGACAACAAAGATTACAAGAAATTTTTAATACAAAAGACATCTTGTTGGGAGAATGAGAGGGAGAAGCTGCCTCAAATCCATCTCTCTGACTAATGGAGATCATGGGCTTTTAAAGGAGGGCCACTGTAGGGGACTGACATATATTTTCCTAGTTTAAGAATTAAAGTTAGTGAGTAACGTATGTGTTCTGCCCAGAGTGTTTGAAAGTAATCTGTTCCGGACAAGGTTCTTATGATAAACAAGGATGTTGCCTAGAGGCATAACAAAGGACCTGAGTTGTAAATAAGCAAGAGCTACCCTGCCCCACAGCGTTGGGGGTCTGGAGGCCACATTATAAACATATTATTCCTGTGATTGCTGCGTACACCCCATAAGATGTCTGGTTAGTAAATGACGGGTAAGACCCCTCAAGGGAGGGGCGACCTAAGCCAGGCCAAGCCACTGGGTTTCAGCTGAAGATCTTAGGGGATCAGCCTAAGAGAAGCTGGGGATGAGAAATGGAAATGTCCCCTGTGGCTCACCTTGCCCATCCTTGCTAATCTCGGTCCTTTATCTATGCCTAGTGCTTAGAGCAACCACCTTGAAATTCTGAGTCAGGGGATATCTGCTTCCCTAAGGCTATGCTTTCTGGAATTTATGGCTATTGCTGCCATGCCTGGGTGGTTACGTTCAAGGAACTAACTTTAATCTTTTAGAGTATAAAAACAAAACAGACCTGGTGTATTATTACTCTAGTCAACCGTTTGTATATGTGCCTGTGTTTTTCTTTGTGTTCTGCGCATTTGTGTTTTATGTTCTGTGTTCATCCTCTGTCCTGTAAACGGGCCATGACAGGCCACAGGCTTTGGGGAAGGTCATGTTGTAACTAACAAGGGGCTATATGCATTGGGGAAAGGTCATGGGAGATGGTGAGCCTTGGCATCAGAAAGTCTGCAGGATCATGGCAAGAAAACAAAAGCGCTGAGACCGTCAGAGGATTGGCCAATTTGGCAAGAAGCTCTCTCCACTGAGCATGTAAATAGAAAAATAGAACTGTTCTCTCTTGAAGATTTATTTATTTTTATTTTTTTTTTTGAGACAGAATCTTGCTTTTTATTGCCCAGGCTAGAGTGAGTGCCGTGGCATTAGCCTAGCTCACAGCAACCTCAAACTTCTGGGCTCAAGCAATCCTGCTGCCTCAGCCTTCTGAGTAGCTGGGACTACAGGCATGTGCCACCATGCCCAGCTAATTTTTCTATATATATTATTTGGCCAATTAATTTCTTTCTATTTATAGTAGAGACGGGGTCTCCTCTTGCTCAGGCTGGTTTCGAACTCCTGACCTCGAGCAATCCACCCGCCTCAGCCTCCCAGAGTGCTAGGATTACAGGCGTGAGCCACTGCGCCCAGCCTGAAGATTTATTTTTTCAAGGCAAGGCAAGAGGCCACCTTCAGTTTGCAACTGCTTCAGTCCGCAACACACTGAAGCATGTAACTCAGCTTTGTGGAGAAAGCTGCTCTGTAGCTTCACTTCCTTGTAGCAGAGCTACAGTCTACACATCTAGCACTTTCCATCATTGCAGGGAGATGTGCCCTCTCCTCAGAATGAGATAAGACCATCCCTCAAATTGATAGCTCTCCAGAAAGAGAGTCCCTCTGTATGTATGAATGGAGGAGGCTTTGAAAGAAAGAGCTTCATCATCTGATGAAGTTGACCACTTCTTCCTTTTTCTCTTGGTTCCTAGGATGACTCACTCTTCTGGCTTCCTTCTACTTTTCTGGCCACACTTTCTTAGTTTTCTTGGATAAATCTTTTTTAATAATTATGACCTCTTAAAAGTTGATGGGGCTGGCAGGGCGTGGTACATAGGTCTGCTTGCTTTTACTAATTGAAATTTACTCTTCACTTTAGGGATATTTATATGCCGATGACTCTAACGTTTAATCTCCAACCATGACCCCTTTCCTGGTCTCTGATCTCATATATGCAACTACCTATATTATATAATCTATGATCACTTGTGGATTTCAGGGGAAGACACAATACTTGGCTTCCCCTCAAGAAATCTCCCAGTATACTCATCTGAATAAATGGTTTCATCATTTTTCCAGTGCTCAAGCAAAAAATCTTGGGATCACTAAATTCTCCTCTTTCCCTCATCTCCCCACACCCTTGCCACTCTATATCCAGCCCAATGGTAAATTCTCTTGATTTTCTCTTGTCTTTCAAAGATATCCTGAATCTGACCATTTTCCACTTCCTCCGCCATTATCACTCTAGTCTGAACTCCTCATCTTGAGCTCTCACCTGACAATGTGGAAGCCTTCACAGAGTGGCCAAAGTGTTCACCACTATTGTTCTCCTGCCAACCCGCTCTGCTGCAACCACCCTGACCTCCTTACTGCCATAAACTGCCATCAAGGGATGTTCATACTTGCCCTTCTTTCTGCCCACAATGCTCTTCCCTAGACATGTCCATGGCACTCTCCCTCACTCCATTCAGGACTCTTCTCCGATGTCATCTCATGAGATAAACCTTCCCTGATCATGCTCTCTGAAGCAGGAGATTCCTTCCTTCCTCACTCCTTTTCCTCTTATTTCTCACATATACTCCAAAATTATGTTTCTTTATTTGGAAAATGGTGATAATATTGGTATCTCTCTCAAAAGTTTAATGAAATGTTACGTGAAATACATTAAAGTGCCTGGCAAATAATAAGCATATAATAACTTAGGATTTTTTTTTAACTAAGTAAGAAATACCCATAAGCTACTTAAATGTGTTTATTTGATGTTGCCATTGTTTTTTTTTTAATAGGGCCGACACCTGAAAAATTCTTTTCTGGGCCAGGCAGGTAATTTAAATTTGTTAGAAGCAGTCAGGTATAAAGCAAGGGAGGGTCTGTGGGGATAGTGGAGAACTGCGTAGTGGATGCCCAGTGAAATGACAGCATGCACATTCAAAATGAAAAAAAAAAAAAAAAAGAGGAAAAAAAAAGGAATTGTGTTAGACCTATAGTACAAATCTGCAGGTTGTATTCTGCCTATGGGACACAAGTTTGTTATCAGCAACCTGAAGTCACAGAAGGGGTTTTAGCGTGAAATTGACGTGATTTGGTTTACATCCTACAAACGAAGTGAATGACTTCTGCTGTGGCGAGAAGAATGCACTGGAGAAGGAGCAAGCAGAAAAGCAAAGGAACCAGTTGGCAGGCTATCGTAACCACCCACCTGAGGAAGGCTGTTAGTGTGGGATAAATTGATGGCAGACATCAAAAGAAGTATATGAATTGGAGACACGTGTTCTGGAGACAGCTGCACTTTTTTGTATGTTCGTATACATAAACTGGTTGAATTTTCCTAAAAAAAAGAAAAGTCTTTAAAAAAGCGAGGGAGCAGCTATGTTTTTTTTTTTTTTCCCCTCTGATTTCAATTATTTTAATAGAACTTTACTGTTTAAAATCAGATCAGTTTATGCTCCTTTCCTGAGGAAGTTGGCACACTGCCATTTGGGTTGGGCAGACTGAGTTTCAGTTTCCTTTCTCTGAGTCTCTGAAGCCTCAAGGTTGCTGCAGACTTTCTGCTTCCATTTTGTGCCTGCACAGCTGTCTAGACAGAGCAGCTAACCTCAGGTGCAGCCCTTGTGCAGATACTACAACAGGTAAATGACTTGCCGCTTTCCACTTTTCCTAGCAAACAGTTATTTGTCTGTCTGTCTCTGTCTCTTAGGTGATAATGTCACTTGCCAATCTCTTTCTCTTTTTTTAATTCTTAAAAATAATCTTTTAGAGTAAAAAATTAGCTAATGGTTTTTCTTGGTATCTGTTCATCCTGTGTTTACTAATTTCTTGTGTTAAAGAGAGTAAATAAGAGACATGAATGTGAGTTTTGTGACAGGACATATTTATTACCTGTTTTTCAATATTTAATGGCAAATATATTTGATTTTCCACTAGATTGAGAAGTATGGAAGTGACAACTGGTTTGACGTGGTTGCAAGAGAAGCTACTGCAAAATTATTTTGGAGGAAAGAAATTTAGCCTTCTCTATAAGGCTAGTGTCCATGGATTCTCTGGCGTAGAGTTGTTTCGGAAGTGCTGTCAAGAAGCACCTACTATGTCAGTGATTTATAGTAGAGATTATGTTATGGGAGTATATGCACAAAAAAGTTACGATGAAATAGATAAATGTTCCATCATTCTTTTTGTACTTCAAGATACTAATATTTCAAAATGTGAAATGAGTCTTCAGACGGCATGGAAATCTGGTATAATTTGGAGTTGTCAAGGTAAACTTTCTATAAATTTAGAAACAAAAGATGTGAAGATGGCCTCAAACATCATTGAAACCCTTGGACTACCTAAAAATGATCCTATTTCCATTCAGGAATATGAAGTTTTTCGTTGTGAAGGTAGGTTTAATTAGATCATACTATATAGAGTTCTCTTCTGCATATTTGGTGGGTTCAAGCTGACTCATCTTTTTAAGGAAAAATGGTCTTTTCACTTGTCCTTATAGCAGATGGCCCAGACTGAAACCTGGCCACAAATTGTTTGCTAAGACATAACCATGGTCAATAATATGTATATTTGTAATAAGAACACTTAACATAAGATCTACTCTCTTAGCAAATTTTAAAGTATAATAGGTCTGCACTTTATGTGATCTATAGGTTCTTGGAGGCTGTGACTTCAAGTGAAGCAATGAACAGGAAGCCACTTTTTTTCTTCATCAATGTTGTGGAGGAAAGACTTTATTGGAGGACCTGCTCCATGTTGCTCTGCTTAAAGTGGCAGTTTCCAAAAATCTATCCATGACATTAAGTGAGGACATAACTGTATACCATACAGTATAGTTAACTATGGGTACTATACTTTATAGTAGGTCTCTAGGACTTAATCATCCTGCATAAATAAAACTTTATGCCCTTTGACCTGCACATCCACTTTCCCCCTCCCCACAGTCTCTGGCAACTACCATTCTAACGCTCTGCTTTTATGAGTGACTATTTTAGAATCCTCATATAAATCGGACCATGTAGTGTTTTTTTCTCTCTTTCTGTGTCTGGCTTATTTCACTTAGCATGATACCCTCCAGGTTCACTCATATTTTCATAAATGACAGAATTTTCTTCATTTTTAAGATGGAATAATATGCCATTTTATGTAAATACCACATTTTAAAAATCCATTTATTCCTTGATAAACATTTAGGCTGCTTCCATGCTATAGTTTCCCAGTATATCAAAAGACCATAATGAATTTATTTATTTTTCTATTACTATATATTTAAGTTGTGTCCAACATTTGCTGTTATAAACAATGCTCCTGTAATATCTTTATACATCTAATTTTGTGGACAAAATTAATTCCTTGTGGTAACTTCCTAGAAGTAGAATTACTATTTAAAGTTTATGTTCATTTGTATTTAGATAGATATCTTTCAAGCTTCAGTTATCTGTATCTCTCCCAACAGTTACAGAAATGCCAATTTCCCTGTATCTTTGTCAATCTTTGATATTATCAAATTTTAGAATATTTCCTGATTTGATCGTGAAAAGACAGTTTCTCATTTTCATTTTTGCTTATCCCTGATCACTTACAAGTCTATGTGCATTGGTTATTTACATTTCTTCTATGAAATGATTGTTTATATCTGCCCATTTAACAGGACTCCTGTGAATAGTATTTCCTGACCATTTGTGTATTATAAACTAATTGTTTGTGGTCTTTCTACTTGATTGATCATCGGAGTAGATAATTCTTTTTTTTTTTGAGACAGACTCTAGCTGTTGCCCAAGCTAGAGTGCCGTGGCATCAGCCTAGCTCACAGCAGCCTTAAACTCCTGGACTCAAGCAATCCTTCTGCCTCAGCCTCCCGAGTAGCTGGGCCTACAGGCATACACCACCATGCCTAGCTAATTTTTTCTCTCTATATATTTTAGTTGTCCATCTAATTTTTTGCTATTTTTAGTAGAGACAGGGTCTTGCTCTTGCTCAGGCTGGTCTTGAACTCCTGACCTCAAGTGATCCTCCTGCCTCGGCCTCCCAGGGTGCTAGGATTACAGGTGTGAGCCACCACACCTGGCCTCAAAGTACATAATTCTTGAATCACATTTTATTTTGGGGGACATTGTAATGCTTCTACAGCCTTGATGTTGCTGTGGAAAACTTCGGGTCAGATTTATTTATTACTACTTTTTTAAAATTTTTCTTTGAGTCATTTGATCTTTCTTCCTTTTTGCTCCAAACATTTTTTTTTTTTAATTTTGTGTAAGTCCAGTGAATTTACTTGGCTATGTCATGATGTTGGCCATCCTGGATCAGTTAAGTAAACTTTTTATTGAAATATAACACAACACATAAACAGTAAAGTACACAATTGACTAGTTATCAGTTGACAAAATTTTTACAAACAGAACACCCACATAGAACAACTACTCAGATGAAGAAATCTATCATTGCTATTATTTCAGAAAATTTCCTTATGACTCTTTCCAGTTATTGCCAACCAAAGGTAACCATTATTTTATCTCATATCAATATTAATTAATATTTCCTATTTTTGAATATTATATATATAGAACCATACCAAACCATGGGTTCTTTTGTGTCTGGTCTCTTCCATTCAATATTATATTTGAGATTGAACTAATACAAGGAATTAGATTTAAAAATCTAATTCCTACAAATCAGATATCTTACCCAGTACTAATAATTTCAAAGAAAAGGTAATCAAAAATTTCAGAGAAGGCAAAAAAAAATAAGTACTGGGCTATTCTGTGTGGCTCTTGAGATCTTTCCTTTCCATATTGGGCATATGCTTTCTGGACAAGAACAACAGGCAGGGTTTTAAGTTTATAGGCCACCTTACATATTGGAGAGTGATCAAGTTATGGAACATTTATATACCAGCTACATGACATTTTCTGGGAAAACATGCCTACTTAATCCATACAATCTGGATTTGTTTACTCTAAGTAATTTGTAGCCATGGCTATCCTGTTAAAGACATTCAAGAGAGGAGTATTCTTCCTTGTAGCAAATATCATTAGTCTATTTACCAGGACATAAAATTATTAGCATATTTATAGGGGAATTACACTTGGTTATTTTTATTTCTTTCCCTAAGAGTGTTCTCTAGAAAAGTGAGTGGATTTATTAGAGTCTAGCTGCTTTAACTCCTACCTCAGGAGTGGTCCATCCAATTATTATGTGCCACAGTGATTTGTTCCTTTTCACTTTCCTTGATTAGACTAGCTGGTTATTTACCTTATATCTTAAAATAAAGAATTGGTACATTAATTTACCCTTTTTCAAGTTTTAAAATTTGTTCTCATATTTTTATTAATTACTTCTTTTTATATTCCTAAGTTTTGTTTCTTTATTCTTTTTCATTTCTATTTTCAATATTCAAAACTTTCCTTACTTCTTGTCATTAGTGAAATATGCTTTTATCACAAAGTTGACATAAAGTGTTCATATCATTATTTTCTATGTATTTATAATTGTGTTTTTAAATTTCCTTTTGGATATTAAAGTTATTTAAGAGAGTGCTTTTTAAAATCCCAAAGCCTGCTTTTCTGTTTGTTTATACTTGTACATTTTTAGTTTTATTATGCTGTAGTCATTGACTGAAGTCTTCATGATTTCTACTTTTAGTAATTTAGTGAGGTTTACTTTGTTACCATACATATGGACATATTTATAAATGTGCTGCATGATATTCCTCTTTTGTAGTTTAGAGACTTGCTAGCATCACTAGACCTAACCCTTTAAGTTTTAAATCCACCATAAAAGAATGTTTCTTTCCAAGAAAAAAATTCTGGGCCTGTGTCTCATTGGTCTGAATGAAGTCCTCTGCCCACCCCTAAATTATTCACTGCACTCTCATTTGCTAGGCACAAGTCTCACCTTTTCTTCTTGAGCCAGGAATAAAATCAATTGAATTGGAAGTTCCTGGATCCTCAGTTACTGATAGCAGGTTATGGAGAAAATCTGGTAATGCCATGGCTTTTAGGTTAGTGTGTTTTTGCACATTATCAATCCCAGACCTGTTGGATTATGGAGGGGAAAATATCTGTTAGAGCATTCCCATGTCTCTAAGCCTTGCTTGTCTTATTCAGAAAGCCCTCTCATGCCCAATTCCCATGTTGGAGTGAGCTACACATTGGGGCTGAATAATTGAGTGAGAAAAGATCTGTTGACACTATAATCTTACAGTGTCTACCTTGCCTTTATCTCTAGCCTCTTCAAATGAGATGATGTTAATAAGATTTGCCAGAATTTTCTCTATAAAATCATTTGCTTTTCACAATACTGTACAAATACATAAAGGATTTTTATATATTTGTCTCCAATGAATTCACCGACATTCATTCAACCAGCTATCATTCAATAACTTCTAATCTACACCATTCTCTTATTTTTTACTAGATTTATTGGACAAAAGAAAGATACAAGGGATTACTATGTAAGTCAATGTTTTTAACATTCTATTACCCTCTTCATAATCTTTGATTTATTCTATGACAGTTTCCATTAATAAAGTTGGTAACACAAATTATCACAGATAACTTGTGGATCATTAAGAGCAACCTATAACTATATTTAGAGTCATAAAGTGATTTTATGATAGTAATGTTAAAACAAAAAGAACATTGAGTAGGGAGAAGAAATTTCTAATTTTATATACTTGGAAAAAATAATTATTTGGCTGCATGTCTATTTTGCTTAGAATTATTGCAGTTAAAATTTCAGCTACTTTAAAGAATTGCTGTGGAAGGAGTGATAGATGGGGAATACCTATTATGAACCTCAAGAACATGTTAAAAATGGGCTACTTCCCAAAACTTCAAAAGTCACATATTATATTATGATTTTTGAAGCTTATTATTGAATAATTTATCTTCCTCTTTGACATAGCTGTTATTAATTTTTAGATTTTTATGGCTTAGTAGCTTAAGTCTGAAAGATTTTATGTCTGATCGGCTTTAGTTACAAATGTTATTTTTGTTTTTCTTTCTTTTACAATAGGATTTAAAGTAGGGTAGACTTGTGTCTTTTTATGTGAGAAGGCAAGTTGCTAATAAAAAATAATAATACATAAGACAAAATGAATTCTAGAAAAACTTATGGTGAGATCTTATAACCAGTCAACTGTTAAAAATTGTTGTGTCTAAACAGGGACCGGGAGAGCTTATTGTCTACTATGAGAACTTATAAGCCATATGGAGACCTGGTTCCCCAAGTGCGAATTCTGCTGCTGGGTCCAATTGGAGCTGGGAAGTCTAGCTTTTTCAACTCAGTGAAGTCTGTTTTCCGAGGCCATGTAACATGTCAGGCTTTGGTGGGCTCTGATACAAGTGGGATATCTAAGAAGGTAAGTATATTTTAGTCACCCAGCCTTTGCTTCTTGTTTAAATTAATTACATTTGAAAAGTCTCTTGCCAATAAACTTTACTACATGTAAACCTCATCTCAATTTCTAATTAAAGAAAAATGAATTCTTAAAGTTGCTTTTTTCCCCTCTGCAGTACAGGACATACTCTATTAAGGATGAGAGAGATGGCAACTTCCTGCCATTTATTCTGTGTGACACACTGGGGCTGGGTGAGAAAGAAGAAGGCCTGTACACAGAAGATGTAGTCTGCATCTTAAAAGGCCACATTTCTGACAGATATCAGGTAAGATTTGGCTGAAAAATTGTAGTTGATTTTTAGAATGAAAAATTGTAGTTGATTTTTTTCCTTTTTTTAAATTTCAGGATATTTGAGGGTACAAACATTTTGGATATATTGTCTTTGCCTCACCCAAGCGAGGGTTAGAGGCATGCCCTTCCCCTCTACAATGCTCACTGCGTCCATTAGTTGTGAGTGTACCCCCCCCAACTCCCTAATCCCTGGAGAATATTACTACCATGTGAGCACCACAGTGTTAATCAGTTAGTGCCAATTTGATGGCGAGTACGAGTGGAGCCTATTCTTCCGATCTTGTGATACCTGACTTCGGATAATGGGCTCAAGCTCTATCCAGGAAAATGTAAGAGGGGCTAGATCACTGCCCTTTCTTATAATTGAGTAATATTCCATGATACCAAAGCCAGGAAAGGACACAACAAAAAAAGAAAACTACAAAGCAATATTCCTCATGAATATAGATGTAAAAATCCTCAACATAATTTTAGCAAATTGAATTTAGCAGTACATCAAAAAAATCATTCACCATGACCAGGTGGGTTTTATTCCAGGGATGCAAGGCTGGTTCAACACACACAAATTTATAAATGCAATTCACCTCATAAATAAAAGTAAGAACAAAGACCACATGATTCTCTCAATATATGCAGAAAAAGCATTTGACAAAGTCCAACACACCTTTATGATAAAAACTCTTAACAAAATAGGCAGAGATGAGTCACACCTTAAAATTATCAAGTCCATTTATATAATTGATGTTTAAAATGCTTATTTTTGCCCCTATCCAAAACATCAGATTCTGGTCTAACTTGGTGCATCAGCATTTACCTTCTTAAGCTATACTTGTTCAAGGTTCTTTTTCCCTTTTTAATATTTATATTTTTCCTCACAAAGGATAAAAACATCGCCAGGACTTTTCTGCCATAACAGCTATGAGTGCTGTTTTATCTTCCCTTGCTTTTGGCTGTGTGAAACAGAAATACAACTATAGCTATTTACCCACATAGATATTTTTTCTTATGTAACAAGAAGCCTAAAAGTGGGCAGTTTGTGGGCCACGTGGCAGCTCTCTGAGGTTATTAATTTCACAGGTCCTTCTGACTTTCTGAGACTCTCAGCATGGAGTGTTACGGAGTGAACGTGTCCTCTCAAAATTCATATGTTGAAGCCCCAATCCTCAATGTGAGAATATTTGGAAGTGGGGCCTTTGGGGGATAATTAGGTCATGAGGGTAAAGCCCTCATGAATGGGATCAGTGCTTTTAGAAGAAGAGACATGAGAGAGATGATCTCTCTCTCTGCCATGTGAAGATATGGCCCAAAGGTGGCTGTTTGCAAACTAGGAAGAGGTCCCTTACCAGACACCAAATCTGCTGACACCTTGATCTTAGGCTTCCCAGCCTCCAGAACTGTGAGAAATAAATGTTTTTTGTTTAAGCTATCTACTCTCTAGTAATGTGTTATAGCAACCCACCTGACTAAGACATGTAGCTTTCATCCATCCTTATACTTTCAAGATGGTCATACTGACCACTGTCAGTGCTCCAAGCAAGAGGAAGGTGAGATCACAGAACCATCTCAGTTTGTCTTTTTTATTTGTTAATTTGTAGTCCTTTTGATAAACATTCAGATCTCAAATTGATTATTAATCTACCTTGTTCCAAATGGGTAGTCAATCATGCCAACATTTTTCATTGAATGCCTTTTGTATCTTTTCCTTGGAAAATATAGGGGTCAGTGTTTGTATTCTCTAGCTTTTTCTATTGATGTATTTATCTGTTTTATAATATCATTTTAATTACTAAATAGCTTAATTGTTTTAATTGAGCTTAATTGTTTTAATTGCTATAGCAATAAATTATGACTTCATAAATCACCGGATAAGTCACATTCATCATTCATTTCTCCCATTTGTTTTTCTCAACAATTTTCACATATATACTTTTATAATTGAGCTTGTTTGTGTTTTGTTTGATTATTTGTGCTTGATTTCTTGTTACATTAACATTTCATACTGAAAGTTGATTTATATCTTTACATATCCAGTGGGTCTATTCAAAAACACAGCATGTTTTATTTTTCTATTGATTATTGATGCAATGTTCTTTTATCATTTAGTATGAAGTTATCTTATAGATGCTGTAAGTTTATTTTTAGATATTCTTTTTTAAAATAAATTTTTTTGTTATAGAGAATCTTAAAGCTATGCAAAAGTAGACAAAATAGCTTAATGGAGTTCCATGTACTCAGTTTAAAAATCTTGTGACTGATAGTCAATCTTGTTTTATCTATATCTACCCACCTTCTTTTTTCTGAATTATTTTAAAGCAAACCCAAAAAATCATAGCATTTTAAGCGTTATTGAATATATACTTATACAATATTAATATATACATAGGAGCATATATATCTTTCCTTAAACATAGCCATAATACCCTTATCACATCAAAAATTTGTAATTGTTTCTTATCAAATACAACTCAATGCTCAAATTTCTAATTGTCTTATAAGTATCAGGCATTTTTAACAGTTTGTTTGAAAAATAATTCAAGTAAATCTATTCAACCTCTTTTAATTTGTATGTTCTGCCTATCTCTTTTGTTTTTTTTCCTTGCAATTTGTTTTTTCAGGAAAGTTAGTTGTTTTGTAGAATTTTATGTAGTCTGAACTCTGCTCTTGGCATCCCTCAGGGTAGTTTTATATGGTCCATTAGATTCTATATATCCTGAAAATAGGTATGTGAATCTAGAGGCATGTTCCAGTTCAGATTCTACTTCATAGATGGTTCTGTGTTCTTCTATGAGGAGGTGCACAATTTTGGATTTTCTTACTTTTCTAATATTGTCATTCATTGATGTTAAATACCTAGATCCATTTATTTCTTAGAGTATGAAAATAGTGATATTCTATTTCTATCATTCTTTCACCACTTTACACATGAAAGGGAAACTTCCCTTCCTCTACTATTTGATTAACTAGTGGTACAGTTTAAAAAGGAAAGGCAGGAGTATGTTTGAATTTTTTCTCCTTTTTACAAGATTTTGAAGTAATAAGTTGTTTCCTTCACACAAGTAATAAGTTGTTTGCAAGTAGTGAACAGTTATTTTATTATCATTATGAGCTCAATATGAATTGAACATATTTTATGTGTTTTAATCCATTGTAGATTTTCTTCACGCTGATGCCAAATGTACCACCTTGTAGTAGTGGGAGCCGCTACACTTTGGATCCTGAGTCTGTTTGACATGAACCTAAAAGTCTTTGCTATATTTTTTTATTTCTGGTATGACTAGATATCTCAGCTACATCTTGTGTTTTTCCTGCCATAGCTTTTGAATCAGTTATTTCTCCAAGAAGTCCTAGTTTGGGGCATTAGAACTGTGCATTGCTACTTGGTTGGTCATTGTTTCTTGCCTTTTTAAGTGTACAGAGTTAGGAGATTTATATTTTCATGAAAAATAAATTATAAATGCATGCAGACACATCTCATTCAAATTTAGGACTAGAAAGGTTTTACTTGATCTTTTCTTTTATGTATCCTAATGTCTCTGCTTTCTCCCAAATGGAAAATTCCCATTCTCAAAAACACCAGAGATGACAGACTATCATGTCACAACTCATTTAATATCATTTTATATAATCACAATCAAAACCAGAAATAATTTTAAAATTTAGCAGATTTTTATATTGTATTTAGGATGTATCATGTTTCCTAACAGGCATATAAAAATTATTGTGTTTTAGAGTCAATCAGAAATAGTTTTTGTCTGTAGTTACGATCCCAACTGGATGCAAAAGTTCACCAGTTTAATTAAATTAAGGATTGATTTTTTTTAAATTGATTTTTATTTTATATTTATGTTTAACATTTATATGGCTCTAAAGTCAAATCTATTTAATACGCAACAAAATATGTTGAAAGAATCTATCTTCTTTCTCTGCCCCTTCAAATAAATATCTCCCCTCTTCCTATAAGTAACCATATAAAATTTATGGTTTACTGATCTTTTTTAATATATAAGAAAATAAGTATAAATTTGTGGCTCCTCCTCTCTTAGAGAAGTGGTAGAATACTGTATTTTAGTGATATATCAAATTTTTGCTGCTGCAAATAGTCCCATAGGTACTAGCCTTGTGCATACATTGTTTTTATATTTTTGCCAGTATATTGTGGGACAAGTTCCAGCAGAGGAACTGCTAGTTCAAAAGTAAGGGCATCTCATCTTGAACCACTTCCCCCTCCCACCTTGCACTCTGCTGTGCCATACCAGCTTTTTTTCTGAGTGCTGGTATGATACAGCACTCCTTCTTTGCCCATATTGCTTCTCTGATCTAGAACACTTTCTGCCATCTCTTAATCTCACTATTCTGCCATCTCTTAATCCCAACTAACTCCCACTATTCTTAGCTCTGAGATTACATGTCCTTTCCTCACTTACTTGAGGAGGTGAAAAGACTACTAGCTACTTACATAATGCCTGTCTTTTCCACCAGATTGTTAGCCTCATGCTATTATAGACCTTTCTGTTTTGTTCATGTATACAGGGCCTGGCATAAAGTATGTGCTCATAAGTATTTATTGAATTAATATATTGCTTTATGTCTACCTTACAGTTTGATTCCATGAAACCAATCACATCAGGTCATCAAAACTATATTGGCTATCCCTTGGTGAAGGACAGAATCCATTGTGTGGCGTTTGTGTTTGATGCCAACTCTGTTGAACGTCTCTCTCCTGAGATAGTGGTAAAGATCAAAAGTATTCGAAGAGAGGTGATAAAGTGTGGTGAGTCTCATTCCACTTTGCCATGAAGGGTGATTGACTAGACCATATTGTAGAACGGTTTCTGGACAGGATGTAGAAATGTAGAATTTTTAAGTAATTGGGTATTGCAATCTCCCCTAGCCCCCCAGCATGGTTCAAACCAACTGAGTACTCACTCACTGTATGACTTTGTGCAAGTGACTTAAACTCTCTATGCCTCAATTTTCTAATCTACAAAATTAATATAATAGCACATACCTTAGAAGTTTTTTTTTTTTTGGTAAAGATTAAACAAATTAATGTATATATGAAGAATAGTATAATCCTAATTACCTGCTATCACTATATCCTGGCATGCATTTATTGACCAAGAGTCATAGATTTCCTCTGGGACCCTAAAGGATTAGAAAGTAAAAAAAAAAAAAAAAATCAGTAAGAAAAAGAAGCAGGAAGTTAAGATGTTTGGTAGGGAAAGGTAGAATAAAGGATTTGGGGAAGATAACCAGGAATAGGGAATTAGAGTGCCCCATTTTGACTGTTTTTGGCCTTATCCATTTTGAGTGGGAAAGAGCCAGTTTATCACAATTTGGATTAAGTTAGAATCAGACAGTGATTGATTTACCTAAGTGAAATTTAAAACCTTGCAAAGGTGATATGTGGGGAGGTGTTTGCTAAAATTACACAACAGGAACAGTTTATTTGTAATGCTTGGATACATTTTATCTCCTTCTTGAGGCGTTTTTTCCCACATCTTGTTTAATAGAGCTCTTTGGTTCTTTCTTTAGTCTTTATCAAAACACAACTTTTGGACAGAATATGAAATTAATCAGCAATATTGTAGCACAAATTTTAGTGACCTCTTCCAAGAGGTGGTTTTATTTATTTGAAGATTCATTTCTTACCATGGAAGGCAATGAATGTGACTTCCCATGTCAGAGAAATTCCAAGTACTAATGAGTATTCCAGGGGAATTTTTTGGGGGAGGAGTGGAGGTGGAAGAACTTCTCAAATATTAAATTGCTCCATAAGTAGCCTATTGCATAATTGATAGTTCATTAATTAAAAATACTGATTCTGTCTGAAATGATAAAAACCATATGTATCTGTTTGGCATAGGTATAGTACACGTGGCTTTGCTCACTCATGTGGATAGCATGAATCTGATTACAAAAGGTGATCTTATAGAAACAGACAGATGTGTGCCTATAAAGTTAAAGGTAATGAACGATGTTCTTTGTAAACACAATTTCTGGGGTTTGTTACTAGTATCACTAGTATCAGTATGCAATTAATATTATTGCATATAAAAATAAAAAGACACCTACCAAGTTTAAGAAGATAAGGGTTGGGTAATGGACAACTAATGGACACATTGAGCATTGTAGGGGGGGAAGGGCACATCTCAAAACATGGTTTGTATGTGGCAAAGGCATAACATGTAACCAAAATGTTTGTACCCCCATAATTTCCTGAAATAAAAAAAATTAAAAAAATTGCTTAATTAGGGCTCATTTTCCAAGTTTTAAAAATTAAATACAATCCTTTTGTCCCTTGATATCTGCAAGGAATTTGGTGTAGGACCTCCCGCTGATACTAAAATTTGTGGATGCTCAAGTCTGTGATATAAAATGTGATAGTATTTACATATAACCTATGTAAACATGCATCCTCCTGTATGCTTTAAATCATCTCTAGAGTACTTATAATACCTAATACAATGTAAATGCTATGTAAAGAGATGTAAATGCTATATAAAGAGTTGTTATACTGTGTTGTTTAGGGAATAATGATAAGACAAAATTCCATTCATCACAATTTAATTCTATTTGGTTCAATTAAAAAATATTTATTGATTACCTTTAAGATTAAGCCAGTGTGATAGTCTCTAACCAGATACACAGATAATGAAAACAATTTTCCTGCACTAAGAAACTTAAAATTTTATAGAAGAAGGTGAGGAGATGGGGAAATGGAATAAGAAAAAGTTGACAAGGCCGGGTGCAGTGGCTCACACCTGTAATCCTAGCCCTCTGGGAGGCCAAAGAGGGTGGATTGTTTGAGCTCAGGAGTTTGAGACCAGCCTGAGCAAGAGTGAGACCCTGCCTCTACTAAAAATAGAAAGAAATTAGCTGAACAACTAAAAAATATATAGAAAAAATTAGCTGGGCATAGTGGCACATGCCTGTAGTCCTGGCTACTCGGGAGGCTGAGGCAGGAGGATGACTTGAGCCCAGGAATTTGAGGTTGCTGTGAATTAGGCTCATGCCACTGCACTCTAGCTTGGGCAACAGAGTGAGACTATGTCTCAAAAAAAAAAAAAAAAAAAAAAAAAAAAGAAAAGAAAAGAAAAGAAAAGGAAAAAATGTTCACAAGAGAATATGATATGATGGAGTATGATAAATATTATGAAATGACTAAAAAGAAAGTGCTATAAAAATTTAGAGAAGGCAGATATCCTGTTAAAGGGCACGGGGGAAGATTTTATTAACTGAGAAATGGCTTTCAAGAAGTATTTTAGAGAGTGAAGAGAGAAAAAGGAAAAACAAATTCAGGCCATGAGGACAGTACAAGTCAATATATTAATGGAGAAAAGGCAGCATGTTTGGGCAGCGTGGAGTTCAGTTTAGTGACAGGTTGGATCCTTGTAGGGGAAGATAAAAGGAGAAAGGAACATTGGTATAAGGTGATTTTACTTAATGAGATATGTTATGAGGAATTATAGCAATGTTTTGAAAGAATAGTGGTATGATCAAAGTTAAACTTCACAAAAATTAATCTGCCACTGTGTGGAGAATAGATTGGAATTAAAACAGGAACCTGGATGTGAGAACACCAGTTTGGAAGATGCAAAGACAGCTAATATTTTTGAGCACTAATATGTTAGATTTTCTTATTCAATCCTTATAACAGGCCTATGAGATGGGTACTATCATTATCAAATTTTACAGATGAGAAAACAAAAGCACACAGATTAAAGCATTTGCCAATGCTTACATAACAGTGCTAAGGAGTGACAGACATATTTTGAAACCAAGCAGTCTGGTTCCAGGAATAAACTAGTCTAAGAAAGAATTAAACATTAAACTAGACTTATCCAATTAAAATTGACTTATCCTAAGAATATATTTAAAAAGGAAGAGAGATCAGAATTTGATATGTGAAGTTCTTCAAGAAAGTACTTTATGGGACCATATCTCCATTTATTTTCCAATAGTAAAATTATTACCAAGTTCTTACTTTTTGTTATTACTTTCAGAATTTATATTGACATAAATATTTTCACTATTTTGATATTTTGGATTGTAATTTCTGTATGTATTACAGCGGGAGGCAGTCCAAAGAAAATTTGGATTTGCTCTTTCTGACATCTTGGTGGTTAGCAATTATACCTCGGAGTGGGAGCTGGATCCAGTAAAGGATGTTTTAATCCTCTCTGCACTGAGACAGATGGTGTGGGCTGCAGATGACTTCTTAGAAGATTTGCCTCCTAAGGAGAGAGGTAGATGCATTTGGTGGTGTAGAAGCTTGAGAGTTTCAACTACAACTTCTTGGCTACTTCCTGCCTGTATCTACGGGATACCTGGCAGCTCTTTGTCTCTTTATGTGTTGTTGCCCTGTGATTAGTCCTGCCTTTTAACCCACTGCTTGGATGCATTTCCCACCCCTTATATTTTCTTCTTCTTTTCCTCCTAGGATACATCCTATAGAACCTGCACTTTCTCTTCCTCCTTGTCTTAAGATGAAAGTTTTTGAGTAATCCACCTCTGTCAGTCATACTGTTTTAACATTAAAGCTGTATCCCTGGTCTCTGCTCTCTGAATGTGCTTCTTTCCTTGGGACCTAGAAGTGGATTGAATCAGCAATGTTCCTGATCAGATGTGGTCCTTCATTATTTGCCCCTTCCTTGGGACCTGATGCTTCTGTCTTTTTTGACTTGCCTTTTTACTCCTCTTCCTCGTCTTAGTCCCTCTTCATGCATTGTGCTCAGTGCCAGGTAGAGGTGTGTTCCTTTTATGCTTATGGCCTCAGAATTTGGCATTATGTATATTCTCTGCTATCAACCTGTGTGTGTAGTACATGCTGCAGTGTTCCATTCAAAGATTAGACAGAAGTTTCAGATTATTACATTCAAATCTTATTTTAGTGTTTGGATAAAATAAGAATGTTATATCTTCTCCAATTCTCTTACTCTGAAATTGCTGGGAAACTCTCTTATTACTAACTTTGCTGTCCTGACTCTGCTATCTTGGTTTCACTATTTCTTCTTTTCATGTGGTTCACGGGCTACTAATGTTAGGGTTGGTTTAGATCTCCGGTGGCCAATTGTTTGTCTTCCCTCAGGTTACTTTTTTCCAAATAATCTACTGACAGTATTTTGTTTCTCTTTTCTCAAGGATCAGATGTTCAAAGAAGAAAATAAATAGAAAATACATATATGAAACCTTCAAATATTAATAATTTTCATCTCATCACAGAAGAGTGACATTGAGAAAGGAGAGAACAGAAAAAATGGAAGTAATGGAGACTGAAGAAGTATACCTTATTTACATCTAGAATGAAGATACACATATAAAATCATAGTACTTATAAATAACTGGGAATAGCAGCAAAGTCACAATTGTGAAAAACAATAATAATTTTTCTTGAATTTGTATTCTATATCTGTGAAAAAACAAAGTTTCTTATAAAACCTGGGTCTAATGTCTGTGTGGGGGGAGGGAGATTTTGAAAAATATTTATAACATGACTTGTCAGCATACTCTTTTCATCTTAATTTTCCCTTCTTATTTTATTTCTGAAGTACATATTTTTGTCTCTGTGGGTCCCCATGTTATATTTTTTTAACCTAAATGTTATATTTTTTAACCTAAAGCCATTTTTTGCTTAATATTTGAACCTGTCTTCCAGAATGTGGTAATTAGTAAGAATTCCACAAGACTAAAACTGAAAGGGACTATAGCTTGATTACTCTATATAATGACTATGTAATGGCTACTCTATGTTATAGCTATTTTAGTTTAGATAAAACTCAACTTGAACTATATAAAAAAGAGGACTGTAGCACTAGATCAAGTCATCAAACCATGGAAAGGGCTGGGATTGAACTGGCTTCACAGATGTTTGACTCTAGGAATTCAAAGCTATTTTTCTCTCTATCTGTCTGTCTCTGTCTTTCTATCTTTCTGTCTCTCTCTCTCTCTCTCTTTTTCTACTCCCCCAACACACATACACACACACTCACCCCTATCATTTCTTCTTTTTGCATGTTGCTGTCATGATCTCAGGCTAGCATTCTTGATCATCTTAAACCATCTGAATCCAAGCTTCAGGCTCACATTCATTCAACTTTGTGACCAGAAAAGAAAAGGACAATGACACTTTCCCAGTGTCATTGTCAAATACTCCAAAAAAGGACTGCAACTGATCTGGCTTGAGCCGTATGTCTACTCCCAGGAACAATTACTTTGTCCAGACGAGCAAGGAAATATGACTAGCCCATCTGAGATCATACCTTGCCAAGGAGGGTGATTTATTATTGGAAGAAGAGAGTTAATCATGGACACAGGCACTGTTGGATTAACTGAGCTAAAGAGGCATCACAACAAATATAGACTCTGGGGAGTTTTTTTTTTCTTTTTTTTCATCTAGTTCCTCTTTTAGACTATAAGGTTTGTGGGCTGGGTGTGGTGGGTTCATGCTCCTGTAATCCCAGGGATTTAGGAGGCCAAGGTGGGAGGATTGCTTGAGCCCAGAAGTTTGAGGTTGCAGTGAGCTGTGATTGTGTCAACAGAGAGAGACTATCCTAAAAAAAGAAAAACAAATTGTCAGAGTAGCTAAAAAATCTTATTAATAAGTCTAAAATTATTAACAATTACTTTTTATTAAAGTTTAGTATATACATAAAAAGTGCATGACTCATCAATATATGGCTTAATGCATTTCACATACTTAAGAAACCCAAGAGACTAGCACTCACATAAGAAACAGAACACCACCATCAGACATCACAAAAGGCCCCTTTATGTCCCAGTCTGGTTATAACCTCAGGTATCCACTATTCTGATTGCTAATTGCATAGATTAGTCTTCCCTACTTTTATTCCTTAAATAAATGATATTATACACTGTTCACTCTTTGGGGTCTGATTTTTTCATGTGATAATATATTTGTTTGATTTGTTTTGTTGCATATAAAGGTTATTTCTTCTCATCTGTCTTAACATCGATGGCATTTGAGTAGTTTCCAGTTTGGGGCTATTACAAATAATGCCACTATAAGCATTCCAGTATGTGAATTTTGGAGAATATATGGAACCATTTCTGTTGCATATATATTATATCTAGAACCAAATTGCTGAGTCATAGAGTATGTACATACTTACCTTTCCTAATATTACCAATCCGTTTTTAATGACCTTTGAAAAATATTTTGTCCCATTACAAATTTTAATGAATTAAACCTCTTCAAATATTTTAAATTCCATCTAGAACTTTATTGTATTTAATTTGTCATTTTAGTGGCTCAATTATTTGACTAGATCTTCCTAAGTACTAGATGTATTTATAGATCTGATATCTTTACCTTATAATCACAGTAAACCTAAAGTTACTCTAAATTTCCCAATATATTACACAAATTAAGATTTAACTTAAATCCACAAGTCTGCATTAATTATTCAACTAGATATTTTGAACCATAGATATAAGACATTGACTTATTAGTATCTTATAGTTGATTAACTAAGAAACCACTCCAAAACTTAGTGGTTTAAACAAGAATCATTTTTTGTCACCTGTGTCTGAGGATTGGCAACAGGTTGGTCATCCCAGGGTTGGGTAACCCAAGGGGCTTTGATTCAGACTGTGCTGTTGGGATGGGTTGGCAGGGGCTGTTTCCCTCCATGCATGTACATTGTGAGGCCCAGGTTGAAGAGACAGTGGCCTTCTGGGAGAAGCTCTTCTTGTTATGTGGCAGAATTTTAAGAAAGTAAGGAGAAATGTGCAAGGCTCCTTAAAGCCTAGGTTTACAACTAATACGTCATCCTTCCTGCCTACTTGCCATTAGTCAAAGCAAGTCCCATGGCTAAACCAGAATTCAAACAGGCCATATCAATGACCACCAGATAAAACCTGGTCGCTGGCTCATTATGGGTTTAGTATGCAAAAGCTGATCACTGGTCCATTCCTTAGATATGTCTATTTGGGTACATGAAACAAACAGGGCCATTGTTACTTGAGCTATAAATATTGGGTGGAATCTCACACATTCTTTTATGGAAATTGCTCATGTAGTAATGTGCACTATCCAGAATGATCATAGGAAGAGAATTTCCAAAAGATGACTTTGAGTAAGATTTTTTGATGGAAAAGAATGGCAGTTAGACTATGTAAGATCATTACTAGTAGCCCCAGGTGGCCTCATCTGGGTTCTGACTATAATAAATGAATATTGGACTTTGACTTTGCTTATCCTATGGGTATAGCAATGACTTAGGATGTTATAAAGATATGGAACAAGAGAAAGTGAATAAATGCAATCTCCTAGGTTATATTTTATCAAATCAGAGCACAGAGCATACACATCACTGTTTTCTATGTACAAAAATGAGCTAAGAGACTTTAACATCATATAGACTCATCCATATCATTATATGTTAGCTATTTCATCAAGAACTGGAATGAGTTATTCTGCTTTTTATCAGCATTCAATATGTCTAAGAGAGGACGTGGTGGATCCTCCAATGTGAAATTCTAGATTTCTCTGGCTCTTCCAGTAGGAGCCATGATCGATAGTGCTGACAGCACAGGAGCCCAAATCTGTGTATCATCTCTGTGAAGGGGATCAAGGGGCAGCTGAACAGACTTCCTGCTCCTGGTGTGGGTGACAAGGCAAACCAGAGCTCAGAAAGATGGTATATCTAGCAGCGATATTAATAATTTGACAATGAAAATCATAGGGAAGAAAGGATGGCATGTGTCTTTATTTTGAAGTTAACACAGGAGGCACAGAACACAAGAAAGGCAAGATGAAAGGTTCTCCAATTGCATGACTAGTTACAAAGGAATATGAAAACCGTGGCCCTGGATATGTCTAATGCTGGTAGCATTGCATAATTCTCCAGTATATTTGCCAAAAAAAGAAAAAAAAAAAAAGAAAAGAAAAACTCCAACAAACTTATTAAAAGAACTTTTCAATCTCTACCCTCCAAAAAAGAACTGGAAAGGGCAATTTAAAATATCTGTTGATAAAAACTGGTAATGAAAAGGTTATGAAAGACTGGCTGGCTTGATTGGATGAATATAAAGCAGGAAAGCTATCGGGAAAGTTTGGGGTATATGGTTGGAGGGATAAAGAGAAGACTGATGATGCACTCACACAACTTTATCATTCCAACAAAAATGTTCTTTTGTCTTGCCAGATCTAGTTGTATCAGTGGTATCTAGTTGTAGCTGCAATAGCATATCCCAGTATAGGGAGGCATTGCTACTCAGGATACTATTTCAATCTCTCTTAATTTGACTTGCATACCATTAAGGAAACAATGGACTTGAGAGTGACTCATCTCATGTGTCTAATAGGTAATGAATGGAGAATAAAAGGGCAACTGTGGCAGATGAGAAAGGAGTGCATAAAATGTGTAATGATGCTGAGAATGGATGCATCATGCTTTTCCTGAGAGAATGTCTCAGAGCAAGAAAAAAACACTTAATGTTTTCTCTCAGATATAGTGCCAAGTAATTGCCAACTCAGGAAAAAGATTCTGGATTTTTCCCCACTCTGGGGAAAATGGCACTGAAGACAAACTGCAAGACTGGCCCGAGAATTTTGTTTTGGTTATTTACTGAAAAGACGTCAATTACACCTGGTGACTGACCTCCATGTAAACTGGTTAGAATTTTCATTCAAGTCTCATTTTGTTGGATACAGTTATCACATTGCTTGTACTGTAGCCTGGAGAGAAATCCTACCCTTGAACTGAACGGGATGCATTGTGACTCTCAGCTGGGTATGAGTATGAAGGAAAACGTGCCACCACTGCATTTCTGGTAGGCTGGAGTCTCCTTTGCTCTTTTGACTAAACCACGTGTGAATGTGGAAGGAACATGAAACAAGCAGGACATGAAGGACATCTGAATGGTGTCCAGGAGAGTAAACTCTTGCCTGTTATGCTGATCAAACATCACAGATAGATTTGCCTCTGAAACTTTGAAAGGAATGCTTATGGGAAGCCTTACGCACATTAAGTTGAACTGCGTCTAGGAGTCAACATGTTCAACTGACAATCTCCTGGAGAACTGATATTTAGGATGCCTACTGTATACTTGTATTTGAATAGCACCCACAGCACAATCAGCAAGTGGCGGCTGTACTTGTAGTGTATTAATACTAAGAAGGATTTGGGAGCCTTGGGAATTGGACTTGACCTATAGTTTGCATTTTTTAGACTCTACAAATAGAATCATGCGTAATGTACTCTTTTTTGTATAGCTTCATTTACTCAGCATGAAGATTTGAAATTCATCCATGTTGTTGCACCTATCAACAGTTTATTTTTATTGCTGAGTACTACTCCATTGTATGGATTTATTACAATTTCTTTATCTATTCACCTGTCAACTGACATTGGTATTGTTCCCAATGAGGTTGCAGATATGCAGAACTGATTAGCAATTTGACTCTTAGTCATATATCTAGAGAAGCTTTTACATGTGCATCAAAATATATATAGAAGAATCATTATAATAGCATTGTTCATAACTGTCTCAAACTGGAAACAACCTGTATGCCCTTCAATAGTATTATAGAATAGACAAGAAATAGTGGTATATTACATAGGGCATTTCATTCATATAATAATGAAAACTAGAGAACTATTCACTATAGTATAGATGAGTCTTACAAATACAATATTGGACAAAGACATGAATAAATTGCTATATTGTGAATAGATTTATGTTAATCTCACAAAAGTTCTAAATAAAAGAAAGGGCATAATTTTAAAAATGAAGATGGTGATTACCTTTTTTTTAATTTTTTTGATTTTTTTTTAAATTTCAGTATATTATGGGGGTACAGATTTTAAGGTTTCAATAAATGCCCATTTTCCCCCCTCCCCCCACAAGTTTGAGTCTCCAGCATGACCATCCCCCAGATGGTGCACATCTCACTCATTATATATGTATATACCTGCCCCCTCCCCCCTCCCACCTGCCCAATACCCTATTACTGTAGTACCCATGTGACCACTTAGGTGCTGCTCAGTTAATACCAATTTGCTGGTGAGTATATGTGGTGCTTGTTTTTCCATTCTTGGGAAACTTCACTTAATAGTATGGGTTCCAGCTCTAACCAGGAAAATACAAGATGTGATTACCTTTTAAAGGGAAGGAATCAGGGAACAGTGAGAGGTTCATCTGGTATTGCTTCAGGGTCTAAAAATGTCATCTGTTTTGAACAGGGCAGTAGTGAAATGGGCATTTGCTTTACAATTTTTTAAAGTTGTACATACATATTTTATATACTTTTCTGTATGACATACATTTTATAATTAAAATGGAAAAAATGAGAAGTCATATCATATACAAAATTGGGAATTATATACAACTAGGTCTGAATCCCATCCCTATTCTACCTCATAATTTGTGACTTTTAAAAGTCTCCAATTTCCCCAATTTACAGATGAGGATGATAATAGCATTTAATACACAGGCATATTGTGAGAATAAAATTAGATAATATACATGAC